CGGAGGTTCACTAACGAGACCATCTGTAGCTGTGACCACTTCTCCTTTTTTGCCCTCATGGTGAGATTATCCTCAATTTCCTCCTCTCCATATTATACTGAACAAGAATATAAAACACAACATGAAACAATTTCAACAATTTTACTGAGTTACAGTTCATTTAAGGAAATCAGTCAATTGAAATAAATTCATTAGACCCTAATCTATGGATTTCACATGACTGGGAATACAGATATGCATCTGTTGGTCAAAGATACCTTAAAAAAAAAAGGTAGGGGAGTTTATCAGAAAACCAATTATTATCTGGTGTGACCGCCATTTGCATCATGCAGCGTGACATCCCCTTTGCATAGAGTTGATCAAGCTGTTGATTGTGGTCTGTGGAATGTTGTCCCACCCCTCTTCAATGGCTGTGTGAAGTTGCTGAATATTGGCGGGAACTGGAACACGCTGTCGTACATGTCGATCCAGAGCATCCCAAACATGCTCAAAGGGTGACATGTCTGGTGAGTGAGTATGTAGGCCATGGAAGAACTGGGACAATTTCAGCTTCCAGGAATTGTGTACAGATCCTTGCGACATGGGGCCGTGAATTATCATGCTGAAACATGAGGTGATGGCGGCGGATCAATGGCACGACAATGGGCCTCAGGATCTTGTCACAGTAACTCTGTGCATTCAAATTGCCATAGATAAAATGCAATTAGTTTGTTGTCCGTAGATTATGCCTGCCCATACCATAGCCCCACCGCCACCATTGGGCACTCTGTTCACAACGTTGACATCAGCAAACCATTCGCCCATACACAGTCTCTTTTTTTGCTTTCTTGAGTAAGGCAGCTCCAAAATGCAGGTATTTCAGCCTAGCTCAGTGCTTTCTGTGGTGGTGGGGCAGCCAGCGGAAAATACGGAGCGTAGGGGTTGGTAAAGTTCTTTAGTTGCGCCGTGATTTGCTCAGTGTTCTGTCACTCATGGGGACACTACGTCGCCGCAAAATCTATGGGGAGAGCTCGAAAATTCAAGCCTCTTGGGTGCTGCCAGAGTTACATTAGAAGTGCCCATCCAAGAAGGCTCAAGGTCATTGGCCACAGATAAAACGACGTCAAATCACGTTATATCTACAGTAGCTTTGATTGGAATGATCATGTCAACATCATACTTTCAAAATCTTAGCTAGCAAGCTAGCAGTCATCATCATGAATCAAGTCGACAATCTACTGGGAAATCCTTTTCAATCCTTGTCATATGAAGAGAAATTATAGATAAAACGTATCAGTGCTCATCGGCCATTGGACATAAACATTACACAACAAGTTGGAAATTGCTAATTCAACAATGAGTGGTTTGGAAGGAATCAGTGGCTAACTGCAAGCATTGCAAAGCAATCACCAGCCTGCTATTGTGGTATAGATATTTAACTCAAAAGTATCTCTAAAAAAAACGGAGCTTGTGAATTCAGAATAGGAATTCAGAATAGACTTTAATAAAGCGCAACAAAGCCGAGCTGATCCATGGAGCAACTGCCTGCCCTGACTCTGAGCTCTCCTTTTACACAGAATCAATGCATAGTCATGTTTATACAACCTACACAGTTACTACCTTATATGTACATTATTAACATATTTCAGTGCCAGGCCACCACCATCTTCCAAAGTCCAAGTGCCACACATGTTTCCTTACAAGGGCTATGTGCGCTTCTCTAGGTTGGGCCTCTGTCTCTTATCCTATTATACTGGTGGCGTGACTCAGACACTTTCTTAAAAAAGAATATACATACACACATTAAAGAACAGTTACACACTGCATTGACTATATTAACTATTCAGGAATGCATCTGGATTACAAAGTATCAATCATGTTTACTATGTTTTACCTTTATCATTTTCACAACATTTGTATTAGAAAATTATCTCTATATACCCCCCTTTGGGACTTTCAAAATCCCAATAAAACAAAAGTTAACATAAAATGAATGTAAGCATGTGCATATACTTATTCTTAGCCTTGCCATCTGTGGTTACATTTTATAAGAAAATCTTCAGACCAATGTATCTTCCTCATTGTCTGACCCATCACGATGAGGACGAGGAGCCCAGTCAGGTACTGGGTACAAGTCCGGAAGGTTTCCCTCTAAGCTAACCTCCAATTGTTGCTGTTGAGCTTTGTAACCGTGACAGGCCCATCCACCCCCAGGGACAACACCATACAGACATTCAGGATTCCCAAATGGGCAGTCCATTGGTCCTCCTTTAATACTACATGGCTTTCCATATTCATTAACATACTGTCCTGGAGCTCCCTGAACAGGGTGTATTTCTTTGGTTGAATTATTAACAATTGTCTGTACAGTAATTTCATTTACTGTAGTTTGGATCAAAAGTGACTTCAACAGGGGCAGTATACAGCAAAAAATATTCCCATTACTACAATTGCTATGCCTATCATGATTGCTATTTTTGTAAACATTGCTCCCCACTTTCCCAAAGTTAAGTCCATCCAATCCCAAGTGTGAGCCTCATGCCCAGCATTGTCCTTCACTTCCTTTCGTAGTCCTTTGAGCTTAGTCATTGCTTCAGTGAATGAACCATCCGGGGCAGTATTATTGGGAATGAAGGTACAACATTCATCCCCAAACATAACACAAACTCCACCTTTTTCTGCCAACAGCCAGTTTAAAGCCTGCCTATTCTGCCATGTCATTCTACTTGTAGCCTGTACTTGTTCTCCCAGAGCTGTTAAAGCAGAGTCTGTGTAATTAATAAACCTCTGTTTTTATAGTAAATATAATTGATCCATTCTAGGTTTTTGTTGGGTGATATCCAGACGAATATTGATTCAAATCCTGCTTTAATTTCATCTCTTGCCTTATATTCATTTGGAATTCCTCTAGGCTGACCTATTGAATCCAAATATACATTGGGGTCATGTTCATACACTCATGTGTGGTAGTGCATCCACCCAATTGAGCTTTGCACTGGTACAGATTTTATTCAATTTAGCCTTGAGGGTTCCATTGACTTGTTTTTGCTCACTTCATCATGGGGCCCAAATCCTTGGCCTCCATTCCCTTGTTTACTAGTAAAGTAATGTGTGGGGCAGCACCAGAAACATTATACCATTTTGCTCTGTTTGTCAGTTCTTCCAGCTGGAGTTGAGTCAGCTTTCTTTGAATGTCTCTCCCCTGTTCCATGAGTCTTTGTTCGTCCTGCATGTATCACATAGTCACAGAATCCTTTGTGTGATTTTGAGGTTGGTCCTACCACATCCTCCAGCCTGCTTTTCACCGGCTGGGGCATGGCCTCTATCACTGAGTTTCGGAACAAAGTTGTCATCAGTGGATCCCCTTCTGGGTCTCGTTCTGTTTCCAGTCTCCATCGTTTCATCTGTTCGTGTAGATAGGCAGCTGGATTCTCCGTTTCCCCCAGTGTTCCCCCTTTTAGTGACTTGGGATAAATTCTCGCCGGATATTCCATATTCCATAGTTTCTGGTTTTCTAATTCTTAAAATTTGGAGAGACCTACTTGGTGTACTGCAGCTGAGGCCGGGCCCCGGAGCGAACCACAAACTTTATACTATTAAGTAAGAACTTTGCTTACCTTTTTTTCAGTGGCCACTTGTTTGTGTAGGTTCGTCCAAGCCGTCCACAGTCACAAGTGTTCACCACGGAGTGGATGTGTCGTCCAAGTCTGGGTTTAAGGGTCTATTTTCCAAGCTTAAAAGGATAAACATTTAACATTGGCCATGCTGTCAATCTAGCATGACTTCGGCCGCTTTCAAAACAACTGGAAACTCGGAACTGGGAAATCTCAGACTTCAGTGAGTTCAAGACAACTGGGAACGAGCTCCGACTGGGTAAAATACGTTTTGAGCGGTCATCCAACTCGGAATTTCAAGTCGGGAACTCCGTCCTCTTTCTAGAGCTCCGACCTGAAGATCACTAACGTCATGATTCAACCTTGTTTTTTTTCCAAGTTCCCAGTTGTCTTGAAAGCACCATAAATCAAGAGAATGCCAGACTTTGATGCCAAAGTTTATTTATTTATTTAACCTTTATTTAACTAGGCAAGACATTTAAGAACAAATTCTTATTTACAATGACGGCCTACCAAAAGGCAAAAGGCCTCCTGCGGGGACAGGGGCTGGGATTAAAAAATAAAAAAATATATACAGTACCAGTCAAAGGTTTGGACACACCTACTCATTCAAGGGTTCTTCTTTATTTTTACTATTTTCTACATTGTAGAATAATAGTGAAGATGTCAAAACTATGAAATAACACATTTGGAATCATGTAGCAACCAAAAAGGTGTTAAACAAATCCAAATATATTGTATATTTGAGATTCTTCAAAGTAGCCACCGTTTGCCTTGATGACAGCTTTGCATACTCTTGGCACTCAACAAGCTTCACCTGGAATGCTTTTCCAACAGTTCCCACATATGCTGAGCACTTGTTGGCTGCTTTTCCTTCACTCTGCGGTCCAACTCATCCCAAACCATCTCAATTGGGTTGAGGTCAGGTGATTGTGGAGGCCAGGTTATCTGATGCAGCACCCAATCACTCTCCTTCTTGGTCAAATGGCCCTTACACAGCCTGGAGGTGTGTTGGGTCATTGTCCTGTTGAAAAACAAATGATAGTCCCACTAAGCCCAAACCAGATGGGATGGCGTATCGCTGCAGAATGCTGTGGTAGCCATGCTGGCCCTAACAGTTTCTGAGCACCGTTTGTCACCGTTATAGTCCAATTAATGTATTGTTTAGTGTTGTGTTATGTAGTGGCTTTGCTGGCATGCATCCCCAAAATCCCCACCAAGATTCACATGCTAAAATTGCCACTGCACTTTTTGTGAATATGGAAAATTTCTGGGACCTTTTATTTCAGCTCATGAAACATAGGACCAACACTTACATGTTGCGTTTATATTTTTGTTCAGTGTAATATGCAAATGGTATGCAGATAGTCTTAGGATACTAAAATCATCATACATTTTATGTGCAACATGATGTCCCTGCTCCCACAGATCCCTGCTGTGAACCTGAGTGAGGACCATGTCAGGACGCTGAGTGTGCTCACCTGTATAGGTGGAGCCATCTCTGTGTTCTTCTGCACCATCACCTTACTGAGTCACTGCCTGCAGCATGCGTAACACCTCTAAAGCAAACGTACACACATACAGACGCACACAATCTTTCTCTCTTTCAGACGGAAATCTACTGACCATGCCATGCTGATCCATCTCCAGTTGGTGGCATCTCTGCTGTTGCTCAACCTGCTTCTGATGAGCAGTATGGGTTTGGCCTTTGTGGGCCCTGCCTCTATGGCCCCTGGCCTGTGTCCTGCCGTGGCCGCCCTGCTGCACTACTCACTGCTCTGCTGCTTCACCTGGATGGGCCTGGAGGCCCTGCATCTGTACAGGCTGCTGGTCCTGGTCTACAACACCTACATGAGACACTACCTGCTGAAGCTGAGCCTGCTGGGCTGGGGTAAGAACAGCACTGTCAGAACAGATAACGCCACAGTTAAACAGTCAACAACAGTTCATATGTACAGACCAGCAGTAAACTGAAAATCAAAAGCCTCAACAATCTGTCTCCTCTCAGGTGTTCCTGCTTTGGTTGTATCCATAGTCGCCGCTGTCAGTACAGATTTCTATGGGCTGAATAACGGAATGTGAGTTTATTAACAAAACACATCATATTGGTGCTTTGCATACCAGCCCTCAGAATGACTTTCTCCCTCTGATACACAGGTGCTGGATCAAAGACTCTAATGTGCAGTACGGCTCTGTTGTGGCTTACCTGATAGTGGGCTTGCTCTTCAACGGCACCATCTTTATCATCGTCATCACAACGACGCTCCAGCTGCGCTCTGTGATGTTGCCGCAGCAGAAGAGGCGGAGCTGCAACATCACCTGCAGCGTTCTGGGGCTGACCTGTGCCCTGGGCCTCACCTGGGGGCTGGGCTTCTTCTCCATGGGCTACACCAACCACGTCATCCTATACATCTTCACCATTCTCAACTCACTGCAGGGTAACCTATCATCCTTATCGGAGGGAGCCAATGGCATACTTTATTTTCGTAAGAGTGAGAAAACAAGCAAGTAACATAGGGGTGAAAGATATCCTGTACATACAGATGAACAATCTAAATAATGCTTATTCAGGAACATTGCAATTTTACATTTCTAACACTGCAGATAGCAATAATGTACTGCTGAGAACTGCTGACATGGTTTCAAGCTCCACAGACAAGTATGGCTGTTCTACACAGAGTATTTCTTTCTGAACATTCAGTAATGTTGCGCTCTCCGGATACACCTCTGCTCGTTAATATGACACTGCTTCCTGTTTTCCACAGGGTTCTTCCTGTTCCTGTGGATCTGTGTTAAGAGACTGCGGGGGGCAGAGCCGAGTGCCATGACAACTGGACAGAGCTTTAGCACCCACATTCTCTCCGATGGAAGCGAGGTCTGGAAGAATGAGGCAGTCAGTGCCTCCAGAGGGAGAAATTGCTGCAAATACATCGAAGTTCTGACCAAAAGCTCACTTTAGTTTGCGACGCTTTAGCTCACTGAGATGAATGGAAGTCTACTAATGGAAATGAAGTACTGTGAAGGAAATGTTTTGCTTCAGTCCTATACAGTACATCACATAATAGTTCAATTAATTTTAAAGCAGATAATCACTAAGAAAGAACGCGCGCGTTGTACTCCTATCGTTTAATTTCTTCCTGTTAAAATGAGATGCGGTTTTCTATGCCATGATGTATGCACCTTTCACCTAAAGCCTTCTATTATTATTTCCCTGGGATGGAAAGGGGGGTTGGATTGGGGTCGGGGGTTGGGACTGTTCCCAGAGATGAAAATAAAGTATGAATTGTAATGATTGTACACTTGAATTCTGTAATAAATATACATATTATTTTTTAAAAAGGACTAAATATGTTACACTCCTAACTCAAATGTGTCACTTTGTTCTATATTACAATGGTTTAATGGTTGGTGGTCTTCTGCACAAGGACTTACTATACTCCTGAACTAAAAACTCCACAACTTAATGACATGGTACAGGTTTATTTTCATTTAAAAAAGATACAAAAGTATTTATATCACTAAACCCCCTCCTGAGTGCATTCACCCACCATCTCCCACCTTTAAGAGAGAGGTGTTTGAGTTAGTCTGAATGCATGGTGATAGGATAGGTGGTCAACTTCTGAACATCACAGTATCGTCCTGTTGGCTTACTGAAACATCCCCTAACCAAGAACCTCTTCCCTCATAGTCACCTCCTGTTCCACGTCCCCCTGGAACAACCCAGTGGTTCGGTCCACTGTCTGCACCGGACTCCTCTCTTGCCCAGACTCCCTTCGTAAGCACTCCAGCTCCTCCCTCTCCCTTTGCATTCTTTCCTTCTCCATCTGCAGCTCCACTCTCTCTCTCTGCAGGTCTTCCCTCTGCCTCTGTAGGGAGCGGGCCTCCTGCTCCTGGCTTCTCCTCAGGGTCTCTAGGGCCTCCTTCTCTGCAGATGCCTCTCTGGTGTTGGCCCGACGTAGTGTCTCCAGGAGCTCCCTCTGCTGCTCCAGCGCCCGCGCCTCCTGCTGCTGAGCCCTCCTCAAGGCCTCCGTCAGCTCACGCTCACGCTCCAACACACGCACCTCCCCCTCACATGCTCCCATCACATCAAATGCATCTACAGAGAGAGAGAGACAGGAAAGACCGCATGAAATCAAGAGCTCAGGTTAACTTAACTTATGTATTTTCCTAAATGAACAGATGTATGAGGATCAGTTCTTCGAATACAGAATACAGTATTTTGGGATCAATTTGAGCAACACTGACATGCACACATACATACAGTCATCAGACTTACCTGGAAATTTCCCTGGGCTTTGTTTCAGTGCAACCCCTCCAATTCTCCTTGTCAGGTTGGTGTGTTTGGGGCCTGAGTCACCGTCTTTGCGCAATGTTTTCTGGATGCCGCTGGTCTTCTGTTTCTTGATGTGGCCCTCCAGGCGAGCAAAGGCCTCTGGATGTCTCTTGGACAAGTGGCGCAGCAGGTTGCTGGTGCTGCTCTGGTGCTGGATCTTCTCATTGCAGATCAGACACAGCGCACGGTTCTGCTCCTCCAACCGCTCGTAGTGCGTCCACACGGAGCTCCACTTCCGGCCGGATGGTGCGGCCCCTGCACCGCCCTGGCCCACAATCCCAGCCCCGCTGTCTCTGACCACAGCATGATCCTCTGCTGCCTTCAGGATGCCGTTGATGGCGCTTGCGATGTCTGCGTCACTCACCGAGGCTGCCTGCTCTGGGGGCTGCTCCTCTAGTGCTACCTCCACTGAAACACAAACAGACCAGCAAAAAAAAGTTACTCCACTGAGGACTGTCTGACTAGCTACCTTATCTTACAGCTAACTACATGGCCAAAAGTATGTGGACATCCCTTCAAATTATTGGATTCTGCTATTTCAGCCACACCCCTTTAGGTGCAACAACGGCTCAGCCACGAAGTGGTAGGCAACACAAGCTCACAGAATGGGACTGCCAAGTGCTGAAGCTCGTAGCTCATAAAAATTGTCTGTCCTCGGTTGCAACACTCACTACCGAGTTCCAAACTGCCTCTGGAAGCAACGTCAGCACAAGAATTGTTCATCGGGAGCTTCATGAAATGAGTTTCCATGGCCTAAGTTCATCATGTGCAATGCCAAGTGAGGGAGATTTTTTAGTGGACTATGAGATAAAACTGAGTTAATCACGAACATATAGTTAGAATTCTCTGCTGCTAGACAATAACTTAATTGGGTCATTTCACTGTGTGTATGTGTGGGTGAAGTGGGAATCTGACCTAGGGTCGAATTGCTCGCTCCTACTTAAATCCATGGCCGTCCTACTTTATCAGAGACTGAAACCAGACTGTGGCCTTTTGCCTCTCTCCTCAAACAAAGTGAAATAGCGGCCAGGGTTGGACAGAGTTCAGGCTAAACCTTTGTCTCTCCTTGGCTATCTTCTTGATTGATTACAGCATGATGGGGTGGGGTTTGTGTATGTTTGAAAGATTAAGTATGGACCTGTCATGTCCAACAATCAGTCTTCAGGTCAAGCCCGGGAGAGCCGGGGTTGAACAGAGTTTAAACTAAACATGAGTGTTTTTGCAAGATAAGGGATTGATTGATTGTATTAATATTGATTCTGAACTGAATGAATGTCGAATTTAGCCGCCATCATAGACAAAGGAAGTGGGCGGAGCGATAGAGAGCTGGAAACTGAAGAGGGAGGGATTTTGAGCTAGAAGAGATGTGAATGGGACTATATAGCTGGGGAAGAGAGAGAGAGAAGAGGGGGCTACTCTGCAGACCAGCACGGGCTTTCTTGAATTGAATTAAAGTTAAATCTTGATTCTACAAAAACTCTGGAAGAACTAAAGTATAGTGATTAATTTCCACAACACAAGCGTCAGCTGGAGTGGTGTAAGCTCACCGCCATCGGACTCTGGAGCAGTGGAAACGCATTCTCTGGAGTGATGAACCACACTTCACCATCTGGCAGTCTGGACAAATCTGGGTTTGGTGTATGCCAGGAGAATGTTACCTGCCCCAATGCATAGTGCCAACTGTAAAGGAGCAATAATGGTCTGGGGCTGATTTTCATGGTTCGGGTCTAGGCCCCTTACTTCCAGTGAAGGGAAATCTTAACGCTACAGCATACAATGACATTCCAGACAATTCTGTGCTTCCAACTTTGTGGCAACAGTTTGGGGAAGGCCCTTTCTTGTTTCAGCATGTCCCTATGCACAAAACGAGGTCCATACAGAAATGGTTTGTTGAGATCGGTGTGGAAGAACTTGACTGGCCTGCACAGAGCCCTGACCTCAACCCCATTGAACACCTTTGGGATGAATTGGAACGCCAACTGCGAGCAAGGCCTAATCGCCCAACATCAGTGCCCGACCTCACTAATGCTCATGGCTGAATGGAAGCAAGTCCCCGCAGCAATGTTCCAACATCTAGTGGAAAGCCTTCCCAGAACAGTGGAGGCTGTTATAGCAGCAAAGGGAGGACCAACTACATATTAATGGCCAAGATTTTGGAATGAGATGTTCGACAAGTAGGTGTCCACATACTTTTGGTCATGTAGAGTATTTTACATGCAGTGCCTTCAGAAAGTATTCACACCAATTGACTTTTTCAAAATGTTGTTGAGTTACAGCCTGAATTTAAAATATATTACATTTAGATTTTTTTGTCACTGGCCTACACACAACACCCCATAATGTCAAAGTGAAATTATGTTTTTACAAATGTCTTAAGTCAATAAGTATTCAAACCCTATGTTATGGCAAGCCTAAATAAGTTGAGGAATTAAAATGTGCTTAACAAGTCACATAATAAAGTTGCAATAATAGTGTTTAACATGATTTTTGAATGACTACATCATCTCTGTACCGCACACATACAGACTATTGTAAAGGTCCATCAGTCGAGCAGTGAATTTCAAACAGATTCAACCACAAAAGACCAGGGAGGTTTTCCAATGCCTCGCAAAGAAGGGCGCCTATTGGTAGATGGGTAAAAATAAAATAAAAAGCAGACCATGGTGAGGTTATTACTTTCACTTTGGATGGTGTACCAATAATTAATTAATTAATTAATTGGTCATTTAGCAGACGCTCTTATCCAGAGCGACTTACAGGAGCAATTAATACACCCAGTCACTACATAGATACAGGTGTCCTTCCTAATTCATTTGCCAGGGAGGAAGGTAACTACTCAGGGATTTCACCATGAGGCCAATGGTGACTTTAAAACAGTTACAGAGTTTAATGGCTGTGATAGGAGAAAACTGAGGATAGATCAACTTTCATTGTAGTTACTCCACAATACTAACCTAATTGACAGCGGGGAAAAGGAAGCATGTACAGAATAAAACTATTACAAAACATGCATCCTGTTTGCAACAAGGCACTAATGTAATACTGCAAAAAATGTGGCATAGCTATTATGTTTTTGTCCTGAATACAAAGTGTTATGTTTGGGGCAAATCCAATACATTACTGAGTACCACTCAATATTTTCAAGTATAGTGGTGGCTGCATCATGTTATGGGTATGCTTGTAATTGTTAAGGACAGGGGAGTTTTTCAGGATAAAAAAGAAAACGGTACAGGCAAAATCCTAAAGGAAAACCTGGTTCAGTCTGCTTTCCACAAGACACTGGGAGATGAATTCACATTTCAACAGAACAATAACCTAAAACCCAAGGCTAAATCTACACTTTAGTTTTTTACCAAGAAGACAGTGAATGTTCTCGAGTGGCCGAGTTACAGTCGACTTAAATTTACTTGAATCTGTATGGCAAGACCTGGTTGTCTAGCAATGATCAACAACCGATTTGACAGAGCTTGAAGAATTTTGAAAATAATAAAATGGGCAAATATAGCACAATCCAGGTGTGGAAAGCTCTTAGAGACTTACCCAGAAAGACTCACAGCTATAATTGCTGCCAAAAGTGCTTCTGCAAAGTCGTGAATCAGGGGTGTGAATACTTATGTAAATGAGATATTGCATTATTACATTTTGTATAACTGTGCTAAAATTTCTAGAAACATGTTATCACATTGTCATTATGGGGTATTGTGTGTAGATGGGTGAGAATTTGTTTTATTTAATCCATTTTGAATTCAGGCTGTAACAAAATGTGGAATAAGTCAAGGTGTATGAATACTTTCTGAAGCGACTGTAGCTACCTAGCTCCAGAGATGGGACCAAGTCACTATTATTCAAGCCACAAGCATTTTATACAATAAATATGTTGAAATTACAATATCACTGGAGTCATGGCAAATACATTTGTGCCACTTGTGTAGCCTACCTGGAGTTGGCAAACAGATTTAATAAATAGCCTATAACTCCGTTTTTTGTTGTAGCCTTGTGTATTATGCAATTGTCAATGGCCATGTTAGTTAATTAAATTGGAAGTTATCAGTTGTGATCATGGTCACAGCTCTATAGCAAATGTATCATTCTCCACATTTAAAGTCAGTTTCAATTAGATGTTGGCCTTTCAGGGGCTATAGCAGGGTTCTTCAATTCCGGTCCTGGCGGGCCGAAACGCTTCTGTTTTTTATTTCTACCTGGTAGTTAATTGCACTCACCTGGTGTCCCAGGTCTGAATTAGCCCCTGATTAGAAGGAGAGGATTAAAAACAGAGGTGTTTCGGCCCTCCAGGACCGGAATTGAAGAACCCTGGGCTATAGGCTACCTGCATCTAGATCAGCAAACCATGGCAAAGTTGAAGTGCAATTATAAATCCAGATTTTAGTCAGTAGCCTATGCCTATTGAAATAACAAGTCAATCTCGCAAATAGGCCATTTATAACAGTTTGTAGCCTTACCATCTGGCACATAATGAAGGCACAATTGCCAGAAAGCCTAACATTAGTTTTTTTACGTTTGTCCAAGTGTTTCTTGCACAAATATTGAGATCCTCTATCCAACTTCATCACTCAAACTCTCCTCTCCTGTCAGATGTATCTATAGTTATGCACATGCGCAAACAGGATTTATTTCCAATTATAAACTGGGTGGTTTGAGCCCTGAATGCTGATTGGTTGAAAGCCATGGTATATTAGACTGTGTACCATGGGAATGACAAAAAAATTACTTTTTACATTGTTAACCAGTTTATAATAGCAATCAGGCTCCTCAGGGGTTTGTGGTATACTGCCAATATACCACTGCTAAGGGCCATGTCCAAAGAACAGCCCTTAGCCGTGGTATATTGGCCATAGCACAATCCAGGTGTGGAAAATGAAAGCTCTTAGAGACTTACCCAGAAAGACTCACAGCTATAATTGCTATAAAGGCCTTATTGTTTAATCATAGCAGTCAAAACAATTTAAATCGACATCCATTGATGGAAAATGATCTGGAGAGTTTAATAAGGGCGATTTATCTTTTCTCTTGCAACATTCTTAAACTTGGAGTAATAATTGTTTTGATGGAAAACCGAATTTTGCTTCTTAACCTACTTCTTACAAAATTACGTAGATATTCGTTCTTAATTCGCTCGATAAAGTTATGAAAAAGGTTTTCATGGGAAAATGTGGCAACTCCTCTGTTGCTGCAAAACAAAATTTTGTGGGCAGGTTTTCAGAGGTCATTAGGTTAGAAATTTTAGCTCGACCTGGCAACACTGCTTGGCTTGTATAATTACCCTAAAGTTGTAGACATGCTGCCCGAAAAGTGAGAGGGAATGTTATCACAAATCAGTTCGTAGATCAGCATGTTTCTCCACGATCACTACATTGTAACGGTGGGTCAGCAACAGCTGATTCGGGACACAGACTTGCGGCATAACAGGCAGCATTGCTGCTTCATGAAAACAGGAAACTCATAATGTTAGTTACTAACGTTACAAGTTAGCTAGCTTTTGGTGGAAGCATTCACCATTGTGTGCAGCATAAGATAACTGGTTGGTAATGTCGTAGTAAATATATAATGTTATAGCTTGGTCTGACTAAAATCTTGTGCATGACCCATCTTGTGTTGGGCCTTTGTATTTAATACAATGCACAAGAGACTTCTATCTTGTCAGCCTTATCAGCAGGTGGCTATGGACAACACCCACGCCATAGGTCTCTCAGTTCTTCCAACTCACGAGTTCTTGCTCTGAGGACACACACACACACACCCCCACACACACACACACACACACACACACATACACACACACACACACACACACACACACATCATCATTGTTAAACACACACACGCACACACACACACACACACATCATCATTGTTAAACACAAACACACACACACACAAAAAACCCCTTCTCTTAGGCTGAACATCTGAAGACAGAGAACCCGACTCAGAGCCAATGCAACAGTGACACTAGCCTGGAGGTGACCTCGCCCAACTCATCAGGACCAATCAGAAGATCAGAACTACTAGAATCAACCTACTTCATTTTATTGTATAAAATGTCAGCACACAATGTTTAGGGGCTCGCTCTCTCAGATATCTCCCTACGAGATTGACGAACGGGTCCGTGCACGCTATTTACAGATATCTTTACCTCTGAATAAACTGCCTTATATTATACAATTATCCACCTTGTCCGAAAGTCTCTACTTGGTCTCCGTTCTCCAGTAAACTTGTGATCATCAACAGTAAGCAGCATTCAATGCGATTTATATGAAGTGTGACTGATTCAGCTATAATGCTAGCTCTTCTCATAGACGTCCAGTCATTGAGCTAACGACTATCCATTTAAAAGTGCGTCTCGGCAGAAATATATTTATATAAAATAATTACATCATTTTCTGCAGCGGTGGCAACAATTTCCCACCACTGCTAAATTAATATAGGGGAAACACTGCCTTTAGGCTTTGATCAAAAATAGCATCTGGGGTCAATAAGACCTACACATTAGGCAGTCAACCAAACTTTGCAACCAGTCTTTCCGCCGTGACACGAGACTCATAACACTCGGATATGGGGGACATTATAACATAGCTAGCCCGGTCTATGCTATGTGGTACAAATGTGTGCTAGCTAGTTAAATTAGCATCTGGCCTAACACAATGGAAACATTTGACGTAATAGCGAAACACCGTCTGTGCATCAAGCGTGGGTTACTTTCGCATAACCTGATATTCGAGTATGATAACGTCTCCATAATATCAAATCATACCATCACAATAGTCTTCATTGCTAATCATCATTGGTTGACTGTTGTCGTCCGCCGCCCCAGACCGCCTATCTTTTGATGCTGCTGCGCTACTATACTCATTCAGGTGTTTACTACGCAAATGCCTTAGCATGTTCGTGGTGTGGCCGCAATGAAGGACGGTCTCCAAACACAGCAGACAAGTCACTTTCTTCTCGTCTACGGCTCTGAAAAAAGACCAAACGACACTTCGCTTTCTAGGAGCCATCTTCCCATAAGCGTCTCGTCGGTCGTCACTAGTTACCACAGCCACAAAGTAATAAAGGCCGCCTATTTCTAGAATGTATCTTATTAAAATGTGATTTTAAACCTAACCATAACTGTAAGCACACTGCTAACCTTGTGCCTAACCTTAAATGAAGACCAATTCTTTTTACGATATAGCCCATTTTGACTTTGTGGTTGTGGTAACTAATAGACGTCTCGTCAGCAACACCAAAAAGGTACTTCCGGGTCACGGAATTTCTGAACTCTTCTAAATTAAGTCCCCCACGTTATAGTAGAAACATTTAAATAACCCGTATTTATTATTGATATATGAAAAATAATTGTCTAAACATTAAGTGATTCATATGTTCATATTTAAGTGACATTTCCATTCAATGTGGGTTTTAAAACATGTTCTATGGTCAAATAAATGCCCCCAATGTGAATTGAATAAATGTTGGCTTACAGAGCAAAAACTATTCTAGGTGCCGCAGTAAAATTATTGTAGGGAATATTCAGTAGGGTCTGTAGAATGTATTCAGTAATGTCTGTATATATATGTATATATACACTACCAGTCAAACGTTTGGACACAACCACCTCAAAAGTTTGGACACACCTACTGATTCCATATGTGTTGTTTCATAGTTTTGATGTCTTCACTACAAAGTAGAAAATAAAGAAAAACCCTAGAATGAATAGGTGTGTCCAAACTTTTGACTGGTACTGTATACAGCACACCTACAGCACACATACTCACACCTACTGTATACAGTACCAGTCAAAAGTTTGGACACACCTACTAATTCCAGGGTTTTTCTTTATTTTCACTATTTTCTACATTGTAGAATAACACTATGAAATAACACATATGGAATCATGTAGTAACCAAAAAAGTGTTAAACAAATCAAAATATATTTCATATTTGAGATTCTTCAAAGTAGCCACCCTTTGCCTTGATGACAGCTTTGCACACTCTTGGCATTTATATACACTACCAGTCAAAAGTTTGGACACACCTACTCATTCAAGGTTTTATTTTTATTTTGTGGAGGCCAGGTCATCTGATGCAGCACTCCATCACGCTCCTTCTTGGTAAAATAGCCCTTACACAGCCTGGAGGTGTGTTGGGTCATTGTCCTGTTGAAAAACAAATGATAGTCCCACTAAGCCCAAAACAGATGGGATGGCGTATCGCTGTAGAATGCTATGGTAGCCATACTGGTTAAGTGTGCCTTGAATTCTAAATAAATCACATACAGTGTCATCAGCAAAGCACCCCCACACCATAACATCTCCTCCTCCATGCTTTACGGTGGGAAATACACATGTGGAGATCATCCGTTCACCAACACCGCGTCTCACAAAGACACGGCGGTTAGAACCAAAAATCTCAAATTTGGGCACCAGACCAAAGGACACATTTCCACCGGTCTAATGTCCATTGCTCGTGTTTCTTGGCCCAAGCAGGTCTCTTCTTCTTATTGGTGTCCTTTAGTAGTGGTTTCTTTGCAGCAATTCGACCATGAAGGCCTGATTCACAGTCCCCTCTGAACAGTTGATGTTGAGATGTGTCTGTTACTTGAACTCTGTGAAGCATTTATTTGGGCTGCAATATCTGAGGCTGGTAACTCTAGTGAACTTATCCTCTGCAGCAGAGGTAACTGTGGGTTTTCCATTCCTGTGGTGGTCCTCATGAAAGCCAGTTTCATCATAGTGCTTGATGGTTTTTGCGACTGCACTTGAAGAAACTTTCAAAGTTCTTGACATTTTCCGTATTGACTGACCTTCATGTCTTAAAGTACTGATGGACTCTCTTTCTCTTTGCTTATTTGAGCTGTTCTTGCCAAGGCATAGGGTGACTATTTGAAGAATCTCAAATATAAAATAAATGTTGATTTGTTTAAAACTTTTTTGGTTACTACATGATTCCATATGTGTTATTTCATAGTTGATGTCTTCACTATTATTCTACAATGTAGAAAATAGTAAAAATAAAGAAAAACCCTGGAATGAGTAGGTGTGTCCAAACTTTTGACTGATACTGTATATATGCAAAGAAAATCACAGCACCCCCCACCCCCAAACATCTTCCTGGCTATGACACTACACCACTTCTAAAATCTTAACAACTTGGATGTGCTCACATTTCATGATTTCCTTGTTGATCCTGCCCAGTTGTGCTGACACACAAACAGTGTGCTGCTTTATTAGTGTGCACATTATTATGTGCAGAAACATCAAAAAAGAGACGGAAGTGCAGAATATGGACTTGATATTAAATAATAATGACAATATGAAATTATATTTTGGGTTTGTGTCATGGTAGGACGCAGATGTAATATTGGTGGAGTTCATTTTGCATGGCCCGGTGCCCAGGGTGAGTGGAGATTTCACTTAAGGACCAATGGTATGGTCTAACACAGGGTTGCCCAACCGTGTTCCTGGAGAGATACCCTCCTGCAGGTTTTCGCTCCAACCCCAGGTGTTACTAACCTGATTCATCTCATCAACCTGCTAATTATTAGAATCAGGTGTGCTAGATTAGGGTTGGCGCAAAAACCTACAGGACGGTAGCTTTCCAGCAACAGGGTTGGGCAGGTCTAACATATTCAAATGCCGCACAACCAGGGCACCGGGCAATGTAAAACGAACTCGCCCATTGAAAAGACAGCTGCATTCACGCCACTGCTCCAGCAATTTGTCTACGATTTATCTCGGTCCATGTTGTTGTTGCTATCATCTTTGCCATCGTTTTGGCACATTTTCTAAACCCAGAGACGCAACGTGAGACTTCCGGGAACTCTTGCGAAGCAGACTAAGTAGACCAGGCCGGGTATGGGGTTTGAGAAGTCAATGAAATAAGTGAAAAATTATTCCTTAGTTGTTAATTTTCTCGAAATCTATAGGCACAAACTAGATTCGAGCCAATGTCTTAAGTAGTTGAACATGTTATTACTCCAAACTCGTGAAAGTGACTAAATGACACGTTTTCATTTTCGTCAAAAAACACTTTATATCGAAGGAGTGCCTTTGATTTGACTTGCGCAGTTCGGCGCGAGACGACGGTTAGACCCGATGACGTATTTCTGCACATGCGCTTAGCTAGCCGACGTCGCCATGACATCGCCTACAAGTGTGATCAGGGATTTCTATTGGATACGCAGTTTTAGCCTATCTTCATATTCATGTCTTTGATGTTGGTGTCACATGCTGAATGCGTATTGGCAGCAATCCTTGCCCAATCGCGTCATAGCACTGCTTATGCTACAAGATGCACAACCAACATTTCTGACATGTCAGAACATTTTCGGGACATCTGACAGGGGTCTGGAGAACAGAACAGCTATCATCGGTGCGTCCTTGACCCGCTCAAACTACGCGAGTCCCAGATGTACTGATCCTAGCCGAAGTTCAGAGGATTTGACCCCAATCATGAAAATGTGTCTGGGACGGCAAAAACATGGCGAATTCCTGACAAAATCGTGTAGCGTATGCCTGGCATTATACCTCAGTGGTTGCGAGTTGCTTGACCGCTGGAAAAGGACACACTAACATGCGTTTTGCTGCCACCTATTGTATTGGCGGTATTCATCGAAAGGCTGAAGCAGAGGATTGAAACCCCTATCCCGTCTAAATTAGCTACATAGTGATGCAGTGCACTTTTGGGCTGTCTTTAATTGTACATCCAACATTTGAATGAGACCCCAATTCCTAGGGGAAGATTGGAGCTATCATTCAATTAACATTATGTTGTATGGATGACTTTACACAACTGGAAGACATTTACATTTGATCTGTAATTTTTGAAAAGCCTAAATTCTGAGTCAATTTAAACACACTCAAGGAGAGGCAGCAATATGACAGTGAGATATTTATTAACTTGGGAAGTAACGTGAGTGCGGTACGTTTTCACAGCCTCTGTCCCCTCCACTGAAAACAAAATCATAGGTAGTGTGTACATTTGACATTTTACTCATTTAGCAGACGCTCTTATCCAGAGCGACTTACTGTTAGTGAGTGCATACATTTTCATACTGGTCCCCTGTGGGAATCGAACCCACAACCCTGGCATTGCAAGCGCCATGCTCTACCAACTGAGCTACACGGGTAACAGTGATAACGCCAAGTAAAACTGAAATTATAAAAACTTAAAACACAAAATATAAATATCCATCAACAAACCTCTTATAGCTTATCAGACACATTTCCACTTGCTGAACACATACTACTGAAATAAAACATACAGCCTTTTCTTAGTAAAACACAAAAGTAAAAATGAAATAAATACAGTACAGTCTTTCCACCATATAGTCAGACACATTCTATTCACAGGCTTGCACACAAGCTGTCCGGTTACCACAGACACAGCGGGTGTAGTAGCATTTTATCAGTGCAGGAAATGCTGATATGGAAAATGGGATCAACAATCAATATCTTACTGATAAAAAAAAAAAGACATACATCAAATAATAACTAACTGAAAGTCAAGGGGGTTTGCATGAGTAACTCTGCTGTGAGGGCAGTCTGATGATGATACGCATCTTCTCGTAAAAAGTTAGTTTTTTAAAATGAAATTCTTGAGTTAGTAAGTTACTCTTTAAAAATAACTATATATGTTTATGTGTATAATACACATTTGTGTAAGAGATAATCCTACATTTAATCTATGACATGTATGTAAACTCCAACAAACATTTCTTACATCAGCAGAAGTAGTGAGGCACAGTGAGAAACTATAGTGTGAATACTTAACACGTCCTCCTTCAAGGTGATCACTGATTTGACAGGAAAGTGGTGAACTAGGGCCGGATTGGCTGGGAATATTTCAAAACGCACGCAGGCATGCACACACACAACAACTCTGCTGAGAAGAGTTCACATCCAGTAGTTCTGTTCCAGTAGAAGGTGTGCCCACCAGTCTGCCTGGCTGTGGGTTCTTGCAGGGGAGGGTAGTGGTTGATAGGGGACAGTCTCCTCAGGACAGGCCATAGAGGCTGTCTGTAGGTCATTTATATTAGTATGTGTAGGTGTGTGTGTATATAAATATGAGTACTCAGTTCTTGTTTCTCTGCAGCGCCTCACACAGGTTTTGGTTGGGATCTGGTTCCTGAGTCATGACCTCCACACTTTCCCACTCTCCGCTGCGGCTTGACCGTTTCACCGCCTCCACCACCGTCTGCACGTACAGCCCATCCTCAAACGTTGACGCCATGGCAACCGGCCCCTGCGCCCATGACCGACGCTCCTCCTGTGCCTGGAAAGCATATTTTAGAGCTGTAACCATGGAGCCTAGCCCCCGCAGGTGTGGCAGGGGGACATCCTTGACCTCTTGTCCCGTCCCTCCGCTGTCCCCTAGCAGCAGCTCCTCCCCGTTCCCTCCATTGCGCTGCCCGTACAGCTCTGTCCCCCTGGCAATCAGCCTCCCTGCTGAACCAACAACCATCACCTCGTGGACGAAGGCCCCCGGCATGTTGAAGTTCAGAGTCACAGTGCAGCACACTCCTGACCCAGTTCCAGTCCCCGCCCCGCTACCAGAATGAGACCCTCCCATCAGCATCTGGAAGAAACAGAAGTCATCGCTGGTGACGCGGCGGATCCCGCGGATCGCTCCATTCTGCCGCACGAACGTCCGGAGAAGGCCGTGCACCCGCATCGCCCGTGCTCCCGTCAGGTGACTCAGCAGGTCCACGAGGGTAGAGCCAACCGTGTGGAGCCCGCCACCCCCCATCAGCTCCTCGCAGGTCCAGCCGTATGATTGGTCGAGCAGACTGGGGCCATAGACACGGGCGTCACACACCTGCAGCTCACCCACGTATCCCTCCGCCAGCAGCTGCCGCATTGCTACGAACGCTGGGAGGAAGCGCAGAGCATTACCCACAATGCTCAGCAACTGGGGGTAGTACCGCGCCGCAGTCACCATCTTGAACGCGTCCACAGCGGTAGCAGCCTTCTCACATACCACATTCTTACCTATCCCTACGAGAGAGAGAGAGAGAGAGAGAGAGAGAGAGAAAGAGGTGTTCCTGAAAATGCCTCTATGCTTCAACAACCACCATGTGTGTATGTAGGTTGTGGCACCATCTATTAACTGTGTGTGTGTGTGTGTGTGTGTCTCTATGCAAATATAACCTCAGCCCTGACCTTAAAGCCCCACCCAACACAGGGAGTCCACTATTCGACCGGACACAGGAGGAAGTACATACTGTCCAGACCCCTCTGCCGCACGCACACACACACGCAAACAGCACGTCCCTCCCCCAGAGCAGGGAGGGACCTTCCGGTTGGTGGAGACACTCTCAGGAAGCAGGAACTAAAGCAGGAAGATGAGGTCAACGCTCAGGAATTCACCCAGATAAGACGGTCAATTCACCTCCTCTGACATCATAACCTACCAGTACCTCAAAACTCACGATTCAGTTAAAGCGTATAGCCAACTATTGTAAATCAATCAGAATACAGTGATAGACAGAGAGGGCTCAATAGAGACTAAGAGAAGGGAGGTAGTGAGAAAGAGGAAAAGAGAGAGCCTCAGCCATGGAGAGAGAGAGATGGGGGGAGGGATGTATGGGAGGTATGAGTCCAGACAGATTAGAAGAGGAATGCACCGATTATCAGTGTTCATCAGAGACTGTATTGTTTATGTAAGTTTGTGGAAGCATTGCTTCCCTATGGCCTCGTCAAGTGTTTGTGTGCTATGAAAGCACAGTAAGAGTATTCTGTATGTTGCCTGAGTGTTGTGTAGGCATTGTGCCAACGTTTGTGGTGTAAACACTGGGATTGATTACCCATGCTCTCCCACAGGGCAGGAAAACCCAACTGTGTGTGTGTACAAGTGTGCATGCATGTATTTGTGTTGTCTTACCCAGGGCTTTGACTGCAATCTGCCGTGTGAGTGGGGGTGAGATGTAGATGCAGACAAGGTCAACATCAGGGTGCAATAAGACATCGTCCGATTGGCTGGTGTGAAACGGAATGCCCAGCTCCTGCGCCAGGGCGCATGCCTCCTCCTCGCTCCTCCCCCAGAGCGCGCGTACCTCAAACCCTTCCCCCCGCAGCAATGGAACTAGCACCCGTGCTGTACTCCCTGTGCCAAACACACCAACACCAGGCAACATTGCTGCCACTCCTCTCCACTGTATGTCTGGTCTGCACCACACAGACACGCAAGCATCCCAACGTCGTCCTACTCCCACCACTCTTCTCTCACAGAGGGAGCGTCTGCTGTATGCTGTTGCCTGGCAACACAGAGAAAATGTTTTAGAATTATTATTATTATTATATACATTGAAGAGACTAAGCGTTGTTTTAATTTTACATGTATTGCTCGATTATGAACTTGTTATATAACCAGTAATGTCCACAACTAGCTGCTCCTCTGTCCAACTATCTACACATTAGCTACAGGTTGTTACACCAGATGTGATTTAACCAAAGATTTTTGGTATCCATTACTGGGAGTTACAGGTTTGCCTATACAAAACGTTGCCAGAGATTTTTCAACAAACCTGGTTATGATTGAGACAGATGGGTCCAGTCCAAAGTGTCGCATGTCATGATGACACTCATGTTTCGATCAATGAGAGAAGATTTGAAATAGACAAGATGGCGGCATACACATTGTTGGATTACTTCAAAACGCACCACCTGCAACTGGACATTTTAAAAGATAAGTTTGGCCGAATCCAGAACGAAGATAGTGTCGCCAATATCAGGTTAGTTTAAACTTATTCTTGAAAACAATACGATATTCATACCTATGGTTTTATGGCTGATAGCCGAGTAGTTTACACAACAGAACAGCAAAGACTGCTACTTGTGCATGTGTGAGATAAGCAGAACCATAGCTCTCAAACTCCCTACAGTTCTCAGCCATTAGCTTCCCCCATGACTGCTTCGTATGAACTACAACCCCGACGCTGTGTTTTACCATTTAGAAACATCAAATCATCACTTGCGATATGGCCATTATCTCTCATCAGCGAGAAACAATCCTTCAAATAAAGAAGATACACTTACTGTAGCAGTTTTGCACAGTTCCATACAGCTACAGTGGGGAAAAAAAGTATTTAGTCAGCCACCAATTGTGCAATTTCTCCCACTTAAAAAGATGAGAGAGGCCTGTAATTTTCATCATAGGTACATAACAACTATGACAGACGAATTGAGGAAAGAAAATCCAGAAAATCACATTGTAGGATTTTTTATGAATTTATTTGCAAATTATGGTGGAAAATAAGTATTTGGTCACCTACAAACAATCAAGATTTCTGGCTCTCACAGACCTGTAACTTCTTCTTTAAGAGAATCCTCTGTCCTCCACTCGTTACCTGTATTAATGGCACCTGTTTGAACTTGTTATCAGTATAAAAGACACCTGTCCACAACCTCAAACAGTCACACTCCAAACTCCACTATGGCCAAGACCAAAGAGCTGTCAAAGGACACCAGAAACAAAATTGTAGACCTGCACCAGGCTGGGAAGACTGAATCTGCAATAGGTAAGCAGCTTGGTTTGAAGAAATCAACTGTGGGAGCAATTATTAGGAAATGGAAGACATACAAGACCACTGATAATCTCCCTCGATATGGGGCTCCACGCAAGATCTCACCCCGTGGGGTCAAAATGATCACAAGAACGGTGAGCAAAAATCCCAGAACCACACAGGGGAGACCTAGTGAATGACCTGCAGAGAGCTGGGACCAAAGTAACAAAGCCTACCATCAGTAACACACTACGCCGCCAGGGACTCAAATCCTGCAGTGCAAGACGTGTCCCCCTGCTTAAGCCAGTACATGTCCAGGCCCGTCTGAAGTTTGCTAGAGTGCATTTGGATGATCCAGAAGAGGATTGGGAGAATGTCATATGGTCAGATGAAACCAAAATTGAACTTTTTGGTAAAAACTCAACTCGTCGTGTTTGGAGGACAAAGAATGCTGAGTTGCATCCAAAGAACACCATACCTACTGTGAAGCATGGGGGTGGAAACATCATGCTTTGGGCCTGTTTTTCTGCAAAGGGACCAGGACGACTGATCCGTGTAAAGGAAAGAATGAATGGGGCCATGTATCGTGAGATTTTGAGTGAAAACCTCCTTCCATCAGCAAGGGCATTGAAGATGAAACGTGGCTGGGTCTTTCAGCATGACAATGATCCCAAACACACCACCCGGGCAACGAAGGAGTGGCTTCGTAAGAAGCATTTCAAGGTCCTGGAGTGGCCTAGCCAGTCTCCAGATCTCAACCCCATAGAAAATCTTTGGAGGGAGTTGAAAGTCCGTGTTGCCCAGCGACAGCCCCAAAACATCACTGCTCTAGAGGAGATCTGCATGGAGGAATGGGCCAAAATACCAGCAACAGTGTGTGAAAACCTTGTGAAGACTTACAGAAAACGTTTGACCTGTGTCATTGCCAACAAAGGGTATATAACAAAGTATTGAGAAACTTTTGTTATTGACCAAATACTTATTTTCCACCATAATTTGCAAATAAATTCATTAAAAATCCTACAATGTGATTTTCTGGATTTTTTTTTCTCGTTTTGTCTGTCATAGTTGACGTGTACCTATGATGAAAATTACAGGCCTCTCTCATCTTTTTAAGTGGGAGAACATGCACAATTGGTGGCTGACTAAATACTTTTTTCCCCCACTGTATGGGTGCTTCCATCCTACACTTCAAGTTATGCTTACACACAGGTGTCCGGAGCATGCTAGATTGTTAATTAGCACAGGTGGTCGCCTTTTGTCTTCAGTTTGTTTTCCGTAAACAAGCGCTGTAACATGGAGATATGGCAGTGTGGGAACACTAACCCTATCAAGGTCTGTATAAATGTAACCTTTTGTTTTCTGAAAATTATTTCTCGCTGATATGAAAGATAAGGTTCATATGCTTCCAAAACCTTACCGCAAGCGATGCATGTTAATGTTCAGACCGAGCGACGGGGATCTTAACAAAACTCCCCCCTACAGAAGACGCCTTTGTCCAATGACTCTTATTATGTGTAATGGAACTGAGAGTCATGATCAAGGGCTAGGCAGAACAATATATACACTGAACAAAAATATAAACGCAACTTGTAAGTGTTGGTCCCATGTTTCATGAGCTGAAATAGAAGATCCCAGAAATCTTTCATACGCACAAAAAGCATATTTCTCTCAAATTCTGGGCACAAATTTATTTAAATCCCTGTTAGTGAGGATTTATCCTTTTCCAAGATAATCCATCCACCTGACAGGTGTGGCATATCAAGAAGCTGATCAAACAGCACGATCATTACACAGGTGCACCTTGTGCTGGGGACAATAAAAGGCCACTTTAAAATGTTCTGTTTTGTCACAACAATGCCACAGTTGTCTCAAGTTGAGGGAGCATGCAATTGGCATGCTGACTGCAGGAATGTCCACCAGAGCTGTTGCCAGAAAATGTAATGTTCATTTCTCTACCATAAGCCACCTCCAAAGTCATTTTAGAGAATTTGGCCGTACGTGTAAGGCGTTGTGTGGGCAAGCGGGTTGGTGATATCAACGTTGTGAACAGAGTGCCCCATGGTGGCGATGGGGTTATGGTATGGGCAGGCATAGACTACGGACAACAAACACAATAGCATTTTATCGATGGCAATTTGAATGCACAGAGATATCGTGACGAGATCCTGAGGCCCATTGTCGTGCCATTCATCAGCCGACATCACCTCATGTTTCAGCATGATAATGGCAAGGAACTGTACACAATTCCTGGAAGCTGAAAATGTCCCAGTTCTTCTATGGCCTACATACTCACCAGACATGTCACCCATTGAGCATGTTTGGGATGCTCTGGATCGATGTGTACGACAGCGTATTCCAGTTCCCGCCAATATCCAGCAACTTCGCACAGCCATTGAAGAGGAGTGGGACAACATTCCACAGGCCACAATCACCAGCCTTATCAACTCTATGTGAAGGAGATGTGTCGTGCTGCATGAGGGAAATGGTGGTCACACCAGATACTGACTGGTTTTCTGATCCACACCGCTACCTTTTTCTTTAAAGTATCTGTGACCAACAGCTGCATATCTGTATTCCCAGTCATGTGAAATTCATAGATTAGGTCCTCATTTATTTTAATTGACTGATTTCCTTATATTAACTGTAACTCGGTGAAATCGTTAGCGTTTATTTTTGTTCAGTATAGATATGTTAGCTAGTTAGCTAACGTTAGCTGGAGAGTTAGCTAACATGAACTAACCAGTGGCTGGGGAGGCAGAAGCCCAGGGGTCCTGGATAAGGATTTTGATGAGCTCTTTATAACCACTATTGTGACTAGGATATATTTTGGTGGTCAGCTACAGTACCTTCGCTTAGCTCGATGACTTTTGATCCGCCGAGTGCTAGGAGGAGATGTCCGTGTACCTGCTGATGTGATGACGTCCCCCGCCTCCGTCGGACTCCCGGTGCCGTTTAATCCGTGGCAGCGAGACTCACCATTCACATTCAGGTCAAAACTTCATGGTATCAGAGCAAGACTCTCAATTTATTCACACTTCTGTATTCTCAATTTATTCATACTTCTGTATTCTGTCTTGAGTATACTTTTCGAGGTTTCAAATTAGGTATTCGCGTTCGCCCAGCATCCGTCTTTCTACACGAAGTTGTCCTGATGAGTCTGCGCAGTGTTGTCCGAGAGACAAAATTCCAGTCACGCCCATCTGAGCAACGCCCGGACTGGTTTCTAGGAGGAGCCGAATCTCCCAAGCCATCAAGACCCACGCCATTGGCCGTTCGATAGCCAATGGGCTCTCAGCAATGCGTTCACCGCCGCGTTTGAGGAGAAGCAGTCTGCCTACAGCAGTGCCGCGTCCAACCAGCTAGCACGATTGACTGACAGCGAGTTAAATGCCACGCTACATGTAAATTAAGCAAGGTAGCTAACGAATTAGATATGGTTTACGAGTAGAATTGCTTGTTTTCAGATACAAAAATAGAGCTAAAGTTGCCTCATTGGTATGCCGCATTGCACTTCATGAAATCAAGAAAAAACTGTCGACTTTGACAGACTGAGCAGTAACCTTCATGCTGACCACACCGCCCGCGTTGCAAAATAAATGTACACATTCATGTTATTCAATCATTGCACCCACACCGCTGGCGCGCGTCTGCGTAGCCAGGCGCTAAAATAGAACTTGGTTCAATTTGTGACGCTTAACGCTTTGCAGGTCCCGCCTCTCCCATCTCCTCATTGGTTTTTAGGAGCATGTACCCACGTGGGTGATTGAAAGTTGAACTGAGGTCCACACTCCAGTCCAGTTGGTGGTGGTAATGCACCTTAAAGTTGGTTGCCAACCGAAATATAAAATCCAAAGAAGAAGAAGAAGCCTGAAGGAGGAGCGATTACTAGAAACGAGATCAATTTACACTTTTATCTGTGGATTAATTGTCGGAGTAGAGGACCTTGTGCATTTCAGGTAAAACAACAACCCAATGTTTATATCCCAGGACAAATTAGTTAGGAACAGTAAGCTCGCTAGCTAAATTGCCATTCTGGAATTAAATAACAAATACAGCATATACTTTCACTCCTCTACCTTTACCTTATAAACTGCCTCAACCCCCCACAATCATTTGTTTTCTTCTCCAAATTGGGGTTAGTGGGGCCCCTCAACAGCATTTTTTAAACGGGCCCCCAATTCGCTAAGTCCCCTGCAAGTAGGCCTATTGAGAGCACTCTCTCGGAGGTGAATTACCTCTGAGATGATGTACAAGTGAGCGCTCTCAGACTTGTCTATCAACCAAAAGCTATTGTAATATTTTACATTATATACAAGTCAATTGTAATGATGAGTCATAAATCCTAGACAATCATTTTCTAAATATTTTCATAAATCACTGAGCCTTCACCTCCCCTCTCCAATAAGTTTATTCTCACACAAGTCTAACAAGTGCCCTTCTGAGGGGAAGACAGAGGGGACAGCTGATTGGCTGATAATTAATGTTTTCATATATTCAAAACCAGGAAGTTTAGTAGTAAGAGACAACTCAAGTTTTTTTTTTTTTTTATCAACTGATAATCAGCAATTCAGCTTTATTAAACATAGACATATGTACATCATTGTTATCGACTCCTTGCCTTAGGGTATATGGTAGCAGGACACAATGCAACTAACGTTATACAGACAAAATGAGAAGAGGCAGTCCATCAGCATAACTGTAGTTTCTGTATCTAAAAACCTGATTCTACTCGTAATCCTATCTAATTCGTTAGCAAATTTGCTCAATTTACATATAGCGTGGTATTTAGCTCACTGTAAGACTCCGACGGTAGCTAGCTAGCTACTTTTCCGCTTTGGACAAGGCAGACTGCTTCTCCTCAGACGCGGCGGTGGAAGTGTTGCTGAGAGCCCATTGCCAATCGAACGGCGTGAGTCTTGATGGCTTGGGAGCTTCCCCGAAATAATATTTATGTTTACTGCGGAGGGGGGCTACAAACGGATTACTGAGCTACTGCCCGAAAGCTGACCGTTTACCAAGAACCAAACAGAACGAACGAAACGGGCCTACCTGCATTTTTCCAATAGAAACGTCCGTTTGCATTTTCCGTTTGGAGTAAAGGGTTTGTTACTAAACGTTTTGCAACAGAATCGGCGTAATGATTACACCACAGAGTATCGAATGCGACCGTTTGAATTTATTTTTTTTTATTCAGACTGTAATGTGATTAGCTGGGTCGATTGTGAAAACTGGGGGCAGCATGACAGAGGGCATTAGATTAGTGTCTACAAACTATAGTGCTTGTATTGGTTGTGTCTTTCAGGTTTCTCTGATGGTTAGAAGTGCCTTTGCTTCCTCAGGGCTTCAACTCCAGTCTCCTTTCTCATCCAAAGGCCCTTACAAATGCCAACGCAACGCTAGACCAGACTACTGATTAAATCAAATCAATTTTATTGCAGTGATATTTGACAAACAAAAGACAATGCCATATTCAAACAAATACAACACATTTACACCAGGTTACATGGTCTTGTCCTGGATGTGTTTGAATGAGCGTCTACAAATAATAAATGAACAGCTGTTAATAGATATTCAATCAAATATACAACATCAGCCCACAACAGTATGATTTGGGCTGATCATTCTCAATATAGGCCAATCATTTTCTCCTCGGTTTGGGAATGACGTAGTTACCACTTGTTGCCACAGGAATGAGGAGCTTTCGGGATTCCATTGGGAGATATTTCTCTATCAACACATTCACCGGCATGCTATCAGTCACAAACCCCTGTCTGGAGAGAAAAACAGAGTTAGAGAAAGACGAATGCACGCGCACACACACGACAAGGAGATTATAGTACATACTGTACACTTAAACAGCTGATGAAACCAGAGCTATACACAAACCTCCGCATCAGCAGCTCTACGTCCTCCACCTCAATGGTCTTCCTCTTGGCGTGAGCAGCAAACGTCTCCAAGTCATCAGCTAGTCGGTCAAAGTAGCGCTCCATTCTGGCAAATCCATTTTATACATACATGCATTCATCAATCAATACATTATCTTTAAGTAAGTCCTCTATTCTGTCACTAATACGTACGTCAATTAATTTAACATCAATTATAAAATAACAGTTGCATTCTGATGTTTTCCTGTCTGAAAACAGACAGTTACATCACTAAATGTATATATCACTTAATGTGTAAGTGAATGAACATAAGCACTTTTTCCTAAGATGGGTCTAGTCTCTTACATCTCCTTTAGGACAGGGTAGACATCTGTAGACACCTTGGTCTTGGCGAAGTGTTTGAACACGCTCATGATGTAGCTCTTAGGGAGACCAGGGTCCTTCTTGGCTGATCCAGCCCGCTTTCCCCTCACCGCTTTGGGCTTCAACGCAGCTGCAGCACCAGCTGAAACACTGAGGCCCCAAAACACAACAGATTAGGTCACAAGCTTGCATAAGCTAGCACACGTATAAACACACAGTACTACTACTAAAATGATTGCATGTCTTTGTGTGTGACTTGCCTTGGTTGAAGGTTTTTGAGAACAGTGGGTGTGGCCAGGGGGTCAATGGGCAGAGCATTCCTCTTCTCTCTGACAAACGCAGGTGTCTTCATAGACAGCTCTGTAGGAAAGAAAGGGTTAGTCATCACAGCATATTTACATTTAAGTCATTTAGCAGACGCTCTTATCCAGAGCGACTTACAGTTAGTGAGTGCATACATTATTTTTTATATATATTTTTTTCATACTGGCCCCCCATGGGAATCGAACCCACAACCCTGGCGTTGCAAACGCCATGCTCTACCAACTGAGCTACATCCCTGCCGGCCATTCCCTCCCCTACCCTGGACGACGCTGGGCCAATTGTGCGCAATTGTGGATCTAACCTTCACACTGGATACCATCCTCCTCTTCCACATCATCCCAGTCCTCATGGTCAGCTGGGCTCTGGGCAGTGATGGGGTGCAGGGATGAAGTGCTGCTGTGAGGGGCATTGTTCTCAGGTTCAAAGGTAATCTCTAAGGGAGGCATGGAGTTCTCCATCTCCTCATTGCCAGGGCTGGTGGCTGTTCTACTGAAACCTTCCAGCTCATCTTCCTGGGGCAACGGGGAGGGAGGGGCACTGCTAAGGGTTACTGTGCGGGGATTGGCGCTCTCACTAGCTCCCACCTCCGGCCCGCTGTGCCACTCACCAGCAGTGTCCCCCTCTGACCTTCTGCCTGCCCACCCTACAAACACACACACAAAGACATCAATAAAACAGTCTCACAAATACTATATTAAATAATAGAATAGACCCACTAAGATTATTTTTCAAACTTCAAAAAGACTGAACAGTCTTGTTGACAAGCAGTATTTGAGCCAAGTGGAATACTGTCCACGTCGGCCAATGTCACATATTTCATTATCACATCACGCTCTCATCACCATCCTGACTCACCAGTCTCTGTAGGATGGAGCTCTGCTCCCATGCTCTTGTAGCCCCTCCCTCCTTCCATCACTCCAGCAACCTTGACTCCACCCTCTGAGCAATAAGCTCTCCGACTGATGTGCATCGCATCGTGTGCTAAACTCTGTGATGTCAAACCTTTTTCCTGCCCTTCTTCAAATACCTGCTCCCCATCATCTGCTACATCTTCTGTCTGAGGTTCAGCCATCTCTTCTTCTTCTTCTGTCTGAGATTCAGATACCTCTTCTTCGGCCTGAGATTCAGCCATCTCTTCTTCTGTCTGAGATGCAGCTACCTCTTCTTCTGTCTGAGATTTAATCATTTCTTCTTCTTCTTCTGTCTGAGATTCAGCTACATCTTCTGTCTGAGATTCAGCCATCTCCTCCTCTTCTGTCTGAGATTCAACTACCTCTTCTTCTGTCTGAGATTTAACCATCTCTTCTTCTTCTTCTTCTTCTTCTTCTTCTTCTTCTTCTTCTTCTTCTTCTTCTTCTGTCTGAGATTCAGCTACCTCTTCTTCTGTCTGAGATTCAGCCATCTCCTCCTCTTCTGTCTGAGATTCAGCTACCTCTTCTTCTGTCTGAGATTCAGCTACCTCTTCTTCTTCTGTCCGAGATTCAGCTACCTCTTCTTCTGTCTGAGATTCAGCCATCTCCTCCTCTTCTGTCTGAGATTCAGCCATCTCCTCCTCTTCTGTCTGAGATTCAGCTACCTCTTCTTCTTCTGTCCGAGATTCAGCTACCGCTTCCTCTTCTGTCAAGGAGTCAGCTACCTTCTACTTCTTCTGTCCGGGAGTCAGCTACCTCGTCTACTTCTTCTGTCTGTGATTTGGACTCCTCTCTCTGCCCAGCATCTCCAGCCAAATCCTCTCCATCTTTGTTGTCTACTTCCATCTCATACTCCTTTTGTTCCCCAACCTCCTCCATATCATTCTCCTCCTCATCCTTCATTCCTCCCATTTCTCGCTGGATCTGTGTTCCTGTGATGGTGTCTTTGTCCTGCGTGGCGATAGTGAAGGTTGTCGCTGTGTCAACAGGCAGGGCGTAGAGCGCCGTGTTGCTGGTGATTATGTCATGGGTGATGTCAGGGGCGGTGAGGTCACTCAGTCCCAAGGTGAACCCCTCGGACCGAACAGTCTCACTGAGACCCTGCTGATCCTCCCTAACACTCAGCTCTGAAAAACAGGGAGAGAGAGGTGGGCGTGGGAAGAGAAATAGGTGGAAGAACTAGGTTTAAGTTCTACTATTCACACAAAATGTGGTCTTAAATAAGAGTCTCAATCTCATATTGTTCCAGATAATTTAAGTACATATCAAACAATATAATACACAGAACAAAAGACAAGCAGAGATATAAGGGGGAATAAATGGGATAGGATGAGAGGATGCAGAGGAAGGGGCTTACCAGTGTTTCCACCCATCGCCACCTGTCGATTCTGTAGGGCCTTGTCAAACTCATCAATGCTAATTTTTTTACGATTTGCTACCTTCCTTTGAAATCCCCTTTTCTCAGTCCGAACGTCCACAAAGGGTGTTTTCAGAGAGAGGGTGATAGAGCTACAAAATGTGTGAGAAAACACCCTCAGTTACATTTCTGACATTCACTACTGAAATTCAATGAGAGAGCAGAAATGTTTCCCATTTGCAGCTCTTTACCTTGGAGAGGCAGAAGACTGGGATGAGAGGTATTTTTCTGTTGCACTGCCACCTTCACCCTCTCTGTCTGCAAATAAGGAATCCACAAACATAAAATTCTATCAGAAAGCGAATACATCCATAATCAGACTCTTAACCAACATGCTCCAAGACAGCTTCTACCCCCAAGCCATAATACTGCTAAATAGCCATTAGAATAAAGAACAGAGTAGCAGCAGCATATGATTGTGTGTGTGTGTGTGTGTGTAGTATTGTGAGTGCATATAGTCACTGCAAGAAAGGATCAATGCAGATAGTCTGTGTAACCATTAATTATCTGCATTGATCCTTTCTTGCAGTGACTATATGCACTCACAATACTACACACACACACACAATCAATCATATGCTGCTGCTACTCTGTTCTTTATTTTACTCTTATTATTATCTATTATGATGCCTAGTCACTTTACCCTGCCTTCATGTACATACAGTATACCTAAAATACCTCATACCCCTGCACATTGATCTGGTACTGGTACTCCCTGTATATACAGTTGAAGTGAGAAGTTTACATACACCTTAGCCAAATACATTTAAACTCAGTTTTTCACAATTCCTGACATTTAATCCTAGTAAAAATTCCCTGTCTTAGGTCAGTTAGGATCACTACTATTTTAAGAATGTGAAATGTCAGAATAAGAGTAGAGAGTGATTTATTTCAGCTTTTATTTATTTCATCACATTCCCAGTGGGTCAGAAGTTTACATACACTCAATTAGTATTTGGTAGCATTGCCTTTAAATTGTTTAACTTGGGTCAGACGTTTTGGGTAGCCTTCCACAAGCTTCCCACAATAAGTTGGGTGAATTTTGGCCCATTCCTCCTGACAGAGCTTGTGTAACTGAGTCAGGTTTGTAGGCCTCCTTGCTCGCACACGCTTTTTCAGTTCTGCCCACAGATTTTCTATAGGATTGAGGTCAGGGCTTTGTGATGGCCACTCCAATACCTTGACTTTGTTGTCCTTATGCCATTTTGCCACAACTTTGGAAGTATGCTTGGGGTCATTGTCCATTTGGAAGACCCATTTGCGACCAAGCTTTAACTTCCTGACTGATGTCTTGAGATGTTGCTTCAATATATCCACATAATTTTCCTTCCTCATGATGCCATCTATTTTGTGAAGTGTACCAGTCCCTCCTGCAGCAAACCACCCCCGTGCTTCACGGTTGGGATGGTGTTCTTCGGCTTGCAAGTTACCCCCCTTTTCCTCCATACATAACAATGGTCACTATGGCCAAACAGTTCTATTTTTGTTTCATCAGACCAGAGGACATTTCTCCAAAAAGTACGATCTTTGTCCCCATGTGCAGTTGCAAACCGTAGTCTGGCTTTTTTAAGGCGGTTTTGGAGCAGTGGCTTCTTCCTTGCTGAGCGGCCTTTCAGGTAATGTCGATATAGGACTTGTTTTACTGTGGATATAGATACTTTTGTACCTGTTTCCTCCAGCATCTTCACAAGGTCTTTTGCTGTTGTTCTGGGATTGATTTGCATTTTTCGCACCAAGTACGTTCATCTCTAGGAGACAGAACGCGTCCTCCTTCCTGAGAGGTATGACGGCTGCGTGGTCCCATGGTGTTTATACTTGCGTACTATTGTTTGTACAGATGAACGTGGTACCTTCAGGCGTTTGGAAATTGCTCCCAAGGATGACCAGACTTGTGGAGGTCTAAAAAAAAAAATCTGAGGTCTTGGCTGATTTCTTTTGATTTTCCCATGATGTCAAGCAAAGAGGCACTGAGTTTGAAGGTAGGCCTTGAAATACATCCACAGGTACACCTCCAATTGACTCAAATGATGTCAATTAGCCTATCAGAAGCTTCTAAAGCCATGGCATCCTTTTCTGGAATTTTCTAAGCTGTTTAAAGGCACAGTCAACTTAGTGTATGTAAACTTCTGACCAACTGGAATTGTGATACAGTGAATTATAAGTGAAATAATCTGTCTGTAAACAATTGTTGGAAAAATTACTTGTGTCATGCACAAAGTAGATGTCCTAACCAACTTGCCAAAACTATAGTTTGTTAACAAGCAATTTGTGGAGTGGTTGAAAAAGCAAGTTTTAATGACTCCAACCTAAGTGTATGTAAACTTCAGACTTCAACTGTAGTTCCATTGTTGTGTATTTTATTCCATTGTTGTGTATATTATTCCTCTTGTGTTACTATTTGCATTATTCTTTTTTAACTCTGCATCGTTGGGAAGGGCTCGTAACCAAACATTTCACAGTAAAGTCTACACCCGTTGTATTTGCCGCATGTGACAAATAAAATTGTATTTGATTTAAACCTGAAACCATGAAAAGTGGGATTGTCAGTGGGGCAAAATGAGCCGAACAGAAAATATCTTCTCATATAGAGCAGTTAACCAGTATGCTTAATCACGCCCTCTCTAACACGTTCAGAACATGCTCCAGTTACAGATATCACACAAACTTAACCATGCGCACAAACTGTACAGTGCCGACCTTGACCTTACCTTCACCATGTTCAAGCTGCCTGTTGAATGCTGTTATGTTGAGACTCCGACGTGGTCGCTTCCTGCTTAGTCCCTTCACTGTATTTGACAGGTTTACTGTGGTGGTCATGTCAGGGAGATCCAACTCAGACAGCCCTGTACTAGTAGACACACACAAAAACAAGGTGTGAACGCACAAACACATCACCACACCAATAATGCAGAGGGCTGTGTGTCCTGAGTGCACCTCTGAGGATATCGTCCATCTCTGTCAGCATACCTTGGGCGGTTGCTGTGAAGACCGGAGTTTGTGGAGGGCAGCTCTGGCTCCTTCCTGACTGGCCAGTCCTGAACCAGCAGGGATGTCTCCGGCTCTGACCAATCAGAGAGGTGACAGAAAAGCAACAAGACAAAGATCACTGAACAACAGGCCATAATGTGCCCATGATGACATTTTACATTTACATTTTAGTCATTTAGCAGACGCTCTTATCCAGAGCGACTTACAGTTAGTGAATACATATATATATATTTTTATACTGGCCCCCCGTGGGAATCAAACCCACAACCCTGGCGTTGCAAACGCCATGCTCTATCAACTGAGCTACATCCCTGCCGGCCATTCCCTCCCCTACCCTGGACGACGCTGGGCCAATTGTGCGCCGCCCATGAGTCTCCCGGTCGCGGCCGACTGCGACAGAGCCTGGATTCGAACCAGGATCTCTAGTGGCACAGTTAGCACTGCGATGCAGTGCCTTAGACCACTGCGCCACTCAGGAGTGATGAGCATATAATAAACATACATATTACCCCACTCTCTCACTGTGACATGACAACACTCACCTGTCTGCAGGATCCCCCTGAGTAGGTATCTAGGTGTGATGTCATCGTCATAGAGAAGTGAGGCTGTGGCTGGTGCAGGCGTGTTTATCTTCCTGACTCCCTCTGATATAGTCCGCCTCTTACTGGGTGGCACTGGCAGGGAAGACCTGGAAGTGCTCTGTAAGAAAAAATACAAAAATGCTGATGAACTCAACACAACACAAGCCTTGGTTAAAACAGTCCCTCTGCCCTACACAGACAAACGGACAGAAAGACTGACATCCAAAGTAATGCCGGGCGGACACTACATTACTTTTAAAATCCTAACATCACTGAGCCTCACACATTAAACTACCGTCTTTCCTGTAGTTGTTTGTCTTGCCAACATAGTGGTGCACAAACTAAACGATGTGGAACAGACGAGGGGGGGGGGGGGGGTCACACACCACAAGATTCTTCACTTGGATGTGAGGATTCTCTATACCACACTGTCTTGACAAGGATGTGATGTGATTAGATAGCTAGAACAAGCTGTGGCTCAAAGCAGCCTCAAACATTTTCAGTCAGACATTCACACTTGCCATACAGAGTTGAAATATCTAGCCAATACATTTTTAATTGAATAACATTGTGTGTAAAGAGCTTGTCAGAGCTGTAACAAATTGACACTTTAGCAAGTACAAACGCATACTAGTAGTAGTCATCGCTCCTGCTCGAGAGTACACATTCTGGGTGATGAGATACAACGTCATCATCTTGCTGATCACAGTTCTCAAATATTGTCGTTGCATATGTCACACTACACACAGATTTTGTGCAGATAAAATCAAACATGTTTGAAAATATCGGGACGTCTGGGACTGTTCAAAGACAGGATCGGTAGCCCTCATATTGCGTCTCTGACCCGCTCACATAAAACGATCCTAGGTAATGTCCGCGCGCCCAGAGTAGGCAAGGACATGGGGATTTAGTCTCCGATCTCAAAAACGTGTCTGGAACAGCTCAAATTGGGGCCAAAATCACGTAGTATACACCCGGCTTAACCTGACCTCACGAAGCTTCTTTTTGATGCTCTGTTTGAGGGCCTCCTGTGGGGTAAGGGCCCCAACATCACTCCTCCTTAGTCTGATACTACGTCTGACTCTGGACCCCGGGGACTGGAACTGAGCCTGGGAGGCACTAGAGAGGACAGAACACACATGGCTTATACCACTAAAATTGACATATCACAGTAGACAACCGCTAGCCAAAGCAAGTTTAGTTGATATAGTAGTAGGTACCGTGGGTGACACTTTTCGACAGTGTTGATTTACCTGCGGGTAATTGGGGACCTGGAGGACTCCGTATGAATTACATTTTGCAGGAGAATCCGAGCAGACACGTCATCATCTACAGAATCCATGGCATAACGTTCAGTCTGTCGAAACAGAAGAAGTCAACGTCATCGATATTCTGGAAATAAAACTGTCAGCATGTCAATTAACTAGCTAACTAACTACTGGCTTAGTACGTACTAGCTAACGTTAATGCAAATAAACACATAGCTTACTACTTCTGAAAGTAAGTAAGCGAGGCGACTAACGCGTTAAAGTTAACTTCGCTAACGAGTTAGCCTAGCAAGCTATCCAAGCTAAGCTAAAGTTAGCTATATCATACACTGACTGACACAATCAAGCAATTTTACCGAGTGGTAGTCATGATACGTTAGATTAGTGTCGCCTTTTTATGTGGAAAAACAATGTTTTAATGTGCTATTTTATGATAGTATCCTAAGCTTGCTAGCTAGTGTTTACCTTTTAGCGGTTGGCTCCCGCGTTTAAAATTGAAGTGAAAACTCGCGAGATGATATTTTTGCGAAGCGGAAAATGTATTCGGGTATGCATTTTGGGACTTGTAGTTTATTTAAGTTCTTAGTTCTGATTCACGCTTGCTTGGAAATAAGTAATAATTGATACAATAGTTAAACATCCATCAAAATAATACACTTCTGAGACATCATACACAAATACGTCTAAAAATATATTAATTGTGCGCGACACTAAACAAAATGTCATATTTTGAGGGCTGCCTGCTTAGGACACAAAACAGGAAGTTGTAAGCATTGCGGGACGTGTAGTTCCGCTTCGAGGCCGATCGGCTTGATAACAACGTGAGGAAGAACGAAACAAAAATAAATTAGATACAACTTCAATAGATAAACTTGTTATCAGATTTTCGTTGGAATAAACATGCCTGGATTCACCTGCTGTGTCCCTGGCTGCTACAACAACTCTCATCGGGACAGAGCGCTGCGGTTCTACACATTTCCAAAGGATACCACGCAAAGGGAGATTTGGCTCAAGAACATCTCCCGGGCCGGGGTGAGCGGCTGTTTTAGTACCTTCCAACCCACTACGGGACACCGCGTCTGTAGCGTACACTTTCCCGGTGGCAGAAAGACCTATACCGTTCGAGTACCGACGCTCTTTCCGCTGAGAGGAGTGAATGAACGCAAGAACCGAAGGGGCAGGAACAGGAAAGCGTCTGTGGCGGCTCCTGTTCCAGCCCCTAGTCCAGGCAGCATTGTCATCACCAACGTTGTTTCGATAGCCGCTGAGAACGCTCAGAGCGATGCAGTCACCGACACAGCTGCTACTGGTGGCCCTATCGTGGTGCAGATCGGCCCGGACGGCGAATACCTCGGACCTGTAAATCCACCCGCGCAGGGTGACGCGACCTGTTTTACTGCAGTCGTCTCCAGCTCCACTGACCTGGCCGGGGGCGACGAAACCCCTGCGGACGCCGCGGCCGCTGTCCAGCAGTACTACAGCGTTGTCAGCAACCCGCTGGACCACGCGTACTCGCTGACCACCGGGACCACCTCGGCCGAACTGCTTCGGAAGCTGAACGAGCAGCGGGACATCATCGCACTCATGGAAGTTAAGATGAAGGAGATGAACGCAACCATCCGCCAGCTGCGCGTGACGGAGGCCAAGCTACAGGAGGAGGTGCGCGAGCGGGACCGTTTGCTGTGCGCTGGAGCAGCGGTAAAGAAAATATGACAATAATTCCCACCCAAAGGATGGATAGCTAAAGACCGTCGCGACCTAAGACTCTAACGTGAGATGAATCGGGTCCGTGGAGAACAGAGCAAACCCTCTTTTGTACGAAAGCGATGACAATTTATTTTCAATAGAGGAGATAGCTACTTTTTCGTCTACTAATGCTATTTTTGGCTAGTTAGTTGATAGTAAAAATCCCATAGTTGCCTATAAAACATTACCCAATTTAGTCCACCCATGTGTTTGCTAAGTGCAAGCTGCCTTTTAGGGGAGTGTAAAAACATTGGCGAATGCGTTCTTGTGGATCTCCTGGCTGCAACTCTGTAGCCTACTTTCGACATAGAACATTTTAAAGGGGGATGGGGGAATTATTAGGCCATTGTTTTGTTGTTAAGCTGTTTGTGTTTGTATGTCAGTGTCTGCAGTTGAATTCTCCTTGCAGAATATTGAACACCAGCTTTTCAGTTCAGAGGCCATCCTCCAAAACAAGGTTGCTCTGTGACTCTGACTGTGAGGAGATGTGCTTGGCATCATGGAAGTATGTGTGCTTATGAGGTGCTTATTCCCACCAGAGACCTGTCTTGATCCATGGCTCCATCTGATTGTAAGGCTTTTACACCACCTAAATGTTCACTGTGACTGCGTGTCTCAACCTTCTCCTCACAAATGGTTTGATACAGTATCTGCAGAGTTGCTACTCAAGCATGGATGTTATGTTAACCTCTGACTGTTGAACTTTGACCTGACAGCAATGACTGTCATGTGATGACTGTTCTGAAACTTAAACCATATCAATTTGAAGTAAATTTCATTATGAAATAATATATCCTGAGTTGTTTCTTTATCTGTTGAAATTGATGCATGAGTGTTATTATCAGTTATCCACTAATTTCTTGGGTATAGCTCAGTAGGTTGGATCATATCATGTAGTTGATGTCTATAATTTCTATTTACCTTTTCAATTGAAACTGACATTCTCTTAGAGAAATCCACTAAAGTGAACACCATAAGGATCTAGACTCATGGCTTAATCTTATCTTGATTATTGGCCTAACACAGGGGTGTCAAACGTACGGCCCGCGGGCCGGATCAGGCCCGCAAACGGGTTTAATCCGGCCCGCGAGATGATTTTTTTTTTTTTTTTTTTTCTTATTTTTTTAAGTATAAAAATGCGCTGCAATTTTTCAATAAAATAAACTGCTGTTCCAATTGCGTCCACTGGATGGCGCAATAGCAATTGTGTTAAGCAAGCAAACTGTTTATACCGGGGCAGAGCAAGTAGGTCAAGCACGTGCAGCCAATGAGCTACTTTGTTTTGCCCGCGATATTTATTACGGCTTCTACTTTTAACATTATGTGCTTTGGCACCCTCATTGCCCCAATATGTCTCTGTCAAAAAAGAGAAAAGTGGACGCAGAGTGCAGAGTGTTCCAAGAAAAATTGTCATCCTATTTAATCACGGAATTGAATGGGAAAGCTTTATGTTTGGTGTGTTCAGAGCATGTTGCAGTGCTGAAAGAATATAACCTTCGTCGCCACTATGTGAGTCTTCATGCCGACAAATATGACAACTTTCAAGGACAGCGGAGATGAGAGAAGGTGAATGAACTGTTGGCGGGTCTGAAGAAACAGCAGTCTGTGTTTACTCACAGCCGAGACATCAGTGACGCTGCAGTGAAAGCTAGCTACCTCATTGCTAATGAAATCGCAGTGGCTTCAAAACCATTTAGTGAGGGTGAATTTGTAAAAACATGCATGATGAAGGCAGTGGAGATTGTGTGCCCTGAAAAGCGGCAGGCTTTTGCAAATATCAGCCTGACAAGAAACACAGTTGCAGACAGGATTTCCGATCTTTCAGTGGATTTGGACAGCCAGTTGAAGCAAAAAGTAAAGTCATTTATTGCGTTTTCGGTTGCAATTGATGAAAGCACGGACATTACAGATGTTGCACAACTGGCCATTTTTTCATCCGCGGAGTTGATGACACATTGACCGTCACCGAGGAGTTCGTGGAGTTGGTGCCGATGACAGATACAACGACAGCAGCTGATATTTTTACCGCACTGGTCGGCGCGCTGGACAGGGTCGGAGTGGACTGGTCCCGCGCTGTCAGCCTGGCTACAGATGGTGCGCCCTCAATGATCGGGAAAAAAGCAGGCGTTGTGACAAAGTTCAGAGAGAAAGTGCAATCTGCAAATGGAGGACGTGATTTTTTGACTTTTCACTCTATTTTGCACCAGGAGGCTTTGTGTTGCAAGTCATTAAAGATGGATAACGTCATGAAGGTGGTCATCCAAACTGTTAATTTCATCCGATCCAGAAGCCTGAATCACCGTCAGTTTGACAGCCTTCTCAGAGAGAAAGACCACATCTATGGCCTTCCATACCACACTGAGGTAAGATGGTTAAGCCGAGGTGCTGTGCTGAGGCGTTTCTTTGATTTACGAGAAGAAATTGAACAGTTCATGGAAGAAAAGGGCAAACCAGTGTTAGAATTTCATTCCGCAGAATGGATGCCGGACCTTGCATTTATGGTGGATGTTACAGAGCACCTGAATAACTTGAACAAACAGCTGCAAGGGCGCAACAAAGTTGTCACGCAGTATTATGACAGCATACGTTCTTTCAAGTTGAAGCTGTCATTGTGGGAGACGCAACTTGCCGGTGGTGATGCAGCTCACTTCCCCTGTCTGAAAAATGTGTGCGCGACCCAACATGTGGCAGACATGAAGCGGTTCAAAGATAAAATAACTGGACTGTTACGGGAGTTTGAGCAACGCTTTCAGATTTATGTTTATATGTTTTTATGTTGATGTGCTATTGTTTTTAATTGATTTTATTTTATTTGTATATTTAACCTATTCTTGACTCTGTGGTTCTTGCACTTGTTTGGGGAACAGGATTTCATTATTTTTATCTACATTTCTGCCTGAGAAATGACACCCTGATATAGTTCTGTGATCTGTGAAACAGTTCTGTTAATCACTGAGGCATTGTGTGTTTGTGTGTTCTTTTTCTTTAGAATTTTCAAATAAACTTGACGTGTTTTATGATTAATCGTGATGTTGTGCTTGTACTATTTTGGACACACTGTCCTCAGGCTCCAGCTTTATGTTGTATGTTGATCGTATTAAAACAAAGAAAACAATCTGAAGTTGTTGTTTTTAAGTTATATATACCATGATTTTTCCGGTCCGGCCCACTTAGGAATAGATTTTCCTCCATGTGGCCCCTGAGCTAAAATGAGTTTGACACCCCTGGCCTAACATATATGGTCAAGTGCTGCAAAAAAATACCTAGTTAAGCTGCAGCTGGCCCAGAACAGAGCTGCACGTCTTGCTCTTCATTGTAATCAGAGGGCTAATATTAATACTATGAATGCCAGTCTCTCTTGGCTAAGAGTTGAGGAAAGACTGACTGCATCACTTCTTGTTTTTATAAGAAACGTGTTGGAAATTCCAAATTGTTTGCATAGTGAACTTACACACAGCACTGACACACACACTTATGCCACCAGGGGTCTTTTCACAGTCCCCAGGTCCAGAACAAATTCAAGTAAACTTACAGTATTATACAGAGCCATGAGTGCATGGAACTCTCTTCCATCTTATAAAGCGCAAGTGAACAGCAAACCTGGTTTCAAAACACAAAAGCAACACCTGATGTCACAATGCCTCTCCCCCATGTGACCTACTTGTTGTGTGTTTGTACTGAGGTATGTGTAACTGATAGATGCACACACACACTACATGTTAATGTTTTGAAATGTAAATTGTAAAGTATTTTGTCTGAAATGTATTTTTCGTTATGCGTCGGACCCCAGTAAGACTAACTGTCGCCATTGGTGTCTGCTAATGGGGATCCTAATAAATCAAATCAAATGACTAGCTCACATTAAGGAATATCTGGTATGGGGAGTTCATTTTCAAAATAAAGTTTGAATCCTCTCACCAGACCTGCAGCACTATACAGAGACTGTAGATGGCACTACAATACAGCTTGGACATCAATATCACTGGACTTTCCCCTCCCCATTCTGTCTAGTGTCCATCCCTATCGGTCACCTTTTCTGCATCTCCCTTGACCGATCATGGTCCACTATCTTACCTTCCTCTGTTATATGGGACCTTATGCATTCTCGCCCCAGCCCTGAGTCACTTAGCATCAGTAAACTGCACATTTCTAAGAATCTTTATTGTTACTTTCTATTGTATTATTTTGTGGTAGATTCTATCTATTAGTGAGTGACTTATCTTTAGCAAAGACTAATTCAAATCCATTTATCATAGAGATGTGATTAGCTTTGCAACGTACTACTGATGGTTTTCTCACAAACTATGTTGCGTTATATAGCGATAGCTTTATATAGCTTTAGCGCTGTTGGTTAGAGCTCACGTATAGCCTACATGGTGAGATTATTATTATTTGTCAAACGGCAGCCAAACAGCGATTATCATGTCACAATAACAAGACCCTCGATATTTATTGGGAAGGCGCATCAAGCTCATCACCTTGCACTTTCACCACCCTGTGAAGTTCATCATAATTTATTTAATCTGTAGCCTAATAAACTGCATGGTTTCCCAAATCGTAGTGGGAGGACCTCACAACATGTCATCGCGTGACTCCGAGTCTACTTCGATATGATGGTTATTATACCAATATTCGCGCATAAAAGCGTTTCCATCGACATATCCCGCACAATTCATTTTACCGACACAAAAAGATCCCACTATGTCTAGCGTATTGAGTTTTGTCAACATTTGGAAAGTTTCCCGAAAAATGCTCTGTTTCCATCAGGCTGGTCATTAAATGTTTTATCCGACATATACTTTACTAGCATAAAAAGGTTTAATGGACACCTCCTTAATTGGTATGGATTAAAAAGCACCGGACAGTCAAAAACACTATGAGGGATGTCAAATTATAACAGTGTAGATTAAGGAAAGGAGACGAGGAGGCCAAGTAAGAAGTAAGAGTATTGATATGCACCCTCAGTCTTCTGACCAGACCACTCTGAGGCTCCACTGCTGGTTAGCAAAGGGTTTGTCTGAGGGTTTACACCGCTCACATGAGAGCTCAGAGCTGTTTCCCAGGATAGGTAACCTGTATGTGTGTATGTTTGTTAGAGAGTGTGTATAACCGGGTGTGTGAATATTCTGTGTACATTGCATTGCTAGTTATTTTGGAGTTTTAAGATCAATGATGTGTGTAAACTGGATGACTGACTATGCAGTTTGTGTATATATGTATATTTTTCAAATGTTTGCCACCGAAATAATGTACCTTTTTAGCTGACATGGGTACAGAAATGATGTGTGTGAGAGAGAGAGAGAGAGAGAGAGAGAGAGAGAGAGAGAGAGATGAATGGAGAGAGGGAGGTTCCTGATCCTAATCTGGATTTATTCTCTACTCCCAGTCCCAGTAGAGTTATGTAATGACTTAATCTAGGCCTGTCAATCAAACTTACACAACTCTCTCTCCCTTTCCCTATCCTGTCTTTCTCTCTCGCTTTCACCACACACAGTATCTATGTAGTGTAGCCACTCATGTCTAATAATTTCACTGTCTCTTCCTTACTGCCTCTTAATTCTATAATATTAATCAAATTCCAAAAAACGATGTGCATGACTCAGCTGCCTCTCATATCATGGTACTTGCAAGAGGAAACCCTATGTCATGAAAGAGTATTACAAGATTAAAGTATAACACTGTGTTTTGACGTGAATGTCTGTGAATTATATATTTTTTACAAAACAAACAATTCATGAAATCCTCTATCAGACAATCCCGTGCCAAAGCTCTCAGTGGTCATCGCGTGACTTGTGTAAGTGACCACACTGCCATGCATCGTTCCAAGTGGATTTGCCTCTATTTGTAAGGATATTACATTCGCTTTTGTGGCACATTTCTTCTTTTGGTTATGTTAAGCCTGTTTAGCCTTGTTTGCCCCTGATGATTTGGTTAGCCCCTGTGTTCTCTGGTGCTATATATTCTATTGTCCTTGCCTTTCATTGTTAGCCATTGTTCTTCTCTATTCTCGGAACAACCATAGAGATAAAGCACATATGCTTTATCTAACCATAGTGTCCCTACTTCTTAATCTACCTAAACCAACCCTCAAATCTATATAAAGATGCCATCCATTGAACTGTGGGAGATTAAACAGCAGTGTGACGATTGTGGCTCTCTCAGCTTCCTGCCATGCTGAGACCCTTATTCTGCAATCAGATAGTCAGGGATATTGTGTATAGGACCAGTATGGGATTGCATGTCTTTAGAACAAAAAATACATTTCATGTGTCCTAATCTCAATCCCTGCTTCCGGTTGTCATTCTGATTGTCATTCTGATGGTACCACACACACACACACACACACACACACACACACACACACACACACACACACACACACACACACACACACACACACACACACACACACACACACACACACAGAGGGGCATAGCAGGTATCTCCAGAGGCAGACAGGCAGTCTGATTATTCAGAAGTTAATGGTTGTATTAAGCCGTAGATTACTGTTGAGATATCGTTCCTGCCATGTGTGACTGTCTACAGATGTGAAACAGGACTTATCTACTAATGCACCCAGCGCCAGCCATCTGTGGGGCAGGGAGGGTGGAGCAGGAGGCATACAGTGGGAAGTGTGTTGTTAACACTATCTGTAAAATATAATACAAAGGCTCAACCAGGAAGGGCTGGCATTGAACGGGGGGCAGCGGGAAACTCCATACATGATCTGTGTGTGGGTAACTAATGTTGCCTGAACCCTGCCCCACCTCCCCGTCCTCTGGGGGCTGAGTTTCCCAGAGGATGCTGTGAATCCGAGCTCGTCTCTCCCAGGTGGGCAGGATCCTCTAATCATCACTGGGATCTCATCCATCTGCCCGCTTCTCCCCAAACGTCTGATTATTTAACCTAGGACAGCACAGCCCACCTCACTGCCCTAGAAAACAAGACATAGCCCCACACAGGCAGAAACTGTATGTGTGTGTGGGGGTGGATAGGACAGATTTACTGAGTAATTCTCAATAAACCCAGAATAAATTCTGTTAATTGAGAAATAGTAATGTATGGGTCTGTGTTAGGGAGTATTTTCCCTCTCTTTTTTACCTACATGTAAGAATGCATGTTCTGTAAACTCCGCTCTCTCTTCTATCTCTCTACCAAACTATTGACAAACACTCTGCATTGTGAGTTTGTGCTATGTGTTTTTTTTAACCTCCACTAAATGCCCTTAATACTGAGGTTGGAAATGAGAATGCTCTAATCCAGTGTGCTATGATGTGACGTCCCTGGTCCGTTGCCCCCAAGCTTTCCACAGCTTGCCCTCCACCCCTCCCCTACACACACACACATCCCCTGGATGCAGCACGTCGGCCCATTGCTCTGTTAATCCAGTGAACACTCACTACGATCTGCCTGTACGCTCTGCTCTACTCTTGAGCTCTGCTGATCCAACAAATGAATGACAGGACACCTCACTCTGAGAAGACACCAACATTCTGTCCAGGATTATAACACTGCTGTGAACGTCATCAGATCAGAGCCATTAATTGTGTGCTGGGGCTCCACTGGGCTCAGTTGGGCCAGTTGAGTATGAGGTCCCATGCCTGCACCGTGACTTTCCTCCAGCCTGTTGCTCTTTACCTCTGTAAGGATGCCTTTCCCTTATATATTTTTGTATTGTATGTCTGTGTGTCTCTATCTGTGTGTGTTATAGTGATGTTACTTTAGTGTGGTGAGCGCAGTGTGATGCTTCAAAATAAGAATATGTTTAAACTGAAGTGATGGCATAGATAGCAGGGCAGGAGTGATGGGTTGGTATGGAGTAATGGTAAGTTGGTCAGGAGAGGAGAGCAATGGTATGGGTGAAAAGGTATTTCTTTCTGAATCCATTCGGAAATGAAGGAGAGAGGTTTTACGAAGCACTTATCCTAATGAAATACATGCTGTTCTATCTTGTTCCGAACAGCGCAGTGTGTGTGTGTTTATGTGTGTGTGTGCCCTCCCACTCTCGTCTCTCCAGTTGTGGGACAGCTGGAGAATACTATCCCACTGAGGTTTGTGCTGAGGATGAGGGTTAAATGATTAAAGGCTATATGAATGTTATGTTGAGAGAGAGAGAAATCATGCATGTTGTGCTAGGAGACAAGAGCAAGAGATTCATGTGTAGAGTGTTGTATTTACCCCAACCTTCCCCCTGTGGTGATACTAATCTTCATGTTCCTTCTCCACCCTCTCTCAGGGCTAATGTGTGTGTGTTTGTGTGTGATGATGTGGTTGTTTGTTTGTATGTTTGCCAATGTGTGTACACATATTGATTATACACACACACACACACAGACACACACACACAGACACAAACGCGCACACACACACACACACACACACACACACACACACACACACACAAAGACACACACACACGTGATATAACTCTGTAATATATAATGCAGGCTGATGAACAACCTTGTTCCGATGCTAAAACCCCAGACGTCAATAAAAAAAAGAAAAGTAATCTATTAACAGCAGTGGATAACGAAGCTTATCTATCTATTGTAATTCACATTGATATTCTTCACTCCATCCCCTCAATCAGGTCTGGCACCTGTGTGTTGGGCTGCTGCGCTCCCTAGCTCCTGTGGCGTCATCTACAAGAGCTTTGCTCAGTGTCTCCTCACTCTGGGGGACAGTCTGGGTGACACACAGAAAGAGCAGAGCACACAGGACATTGACACAGTCTGCAGGTGAGTCTCTCTCTCCCACTCCAACTTCACACCTACTCTGAATCACTCCAGCTTTTTCTCCTCTCATATTCTCCCATCTCCTCACACACATAACTGTTGTAAATGTGAATCTAACTAAATCACATTTTCAGACCAAGTCACTCATACAGAATCAGACTGACATTTCTGTCACCCAACATGTGCTCCAACACCTGTAAACACACACACACGTCACACTCCCTTACACGTCCCTCATTCACAACCTTCAGATTTCCTTAGTTTTCCTTTCATTTCCTTTCAAAAAACACACTCCCTCACAAACCACACTCAAGTTCTCATGTTGTCATATTTGCCCCCTTGCAGGTCATGGGACGCGTTCCATGTGTGTGCGAATGCGGCACTTGCCGGTTGTCCTGGAGATGCAGCGGCTGTGTGGGAGTCTCTGAGGCAAGAGTCCAGGAAGACACAGTTTTCTGGAAACCTCTATGACATGTGTGCCAGCCGCACCACACTGGCACCCAATACAGTGCCCGTGCCACCTTCACAGAGCCCACCAACGTCAGACCAGACCAATCAAGAAACTCTAAAAGGGCACACGCATCACCTTGGACCCGCCTACACCACGCTTCTGCTCTCAGCATGCATCTCTTTACTGCTCCTGCTCAGGATATAGCCCTGACCTCCCTCAGACTGCTATAGGCTCTCTGTGAGTCTTGTGTTTTACTGGACTGAGCATGTACAGTGGGGAAAAAAAGTATTTAGTCAGCCACCAATTGTGCAAGTTCTCCCACTTAAAAAGATGAGAGAGGCCTGTAATTTTCATCATAGGTACATGTCAACTATGACAGACAAATTGAGGAAATAAAATCCAGAAAATCACATTGTAGGATTTTTTTATGAATTTATTTGCAAATGATGGTGGAAAATAAGTATTTGGTCACCTACAAACAAGCAAGATTTCTGGCTCTCACAGACCTGTAACTTCTTCTTTAAGAGGCTCCTCTGTCCTCCACTCGTTACCTGTATTAATTGCACCTGTTTGAACTTGTTATCAGTATAAAAGACACCTGTCCACAACCTCAAACAGTCACACTCCAAACTCCACTATGGCCAAGACCAAAGAGCTGTCAAAGGACACCAGAAACAAAATTGTAGACCTGCACCAGGCTGGGAAGACTGAATCTGAAATAGGTAAGCATCTTAGTTTGAAGAAATCAACTGTGGGAGCAATTATTAGGAAATGGAAGACATACAAGACCACCAGCTCAGCTGGTAGAGCACGGCGCTTGTAACGCCAAGGTAGTGGGTTCGATCCCCGGGACCACACGTACACAAAAAAAAAAATGTATGCACGCATGACTGTAAGTCGCTTTGGATAAAAGCGTCTGCTAAATGGCATATTATATTATATTATTTATATATTTTATATTATATCTCACCCCGTGGGGTCAAAATGATCACAAGAACGGTGAGCAAAAATCCCAGAACCACACGGGGGGACCTAGTGAATGACCTGCAGAGAGCTGGGACCAAAGTAACAAAGCCTACCATCAGTAACACACTACGCCGCCAGGAACTCAAATCCTGCAGTGCCAGACGTGTCCCCCTGCTTAAGCCAGTACATGTCCAGGCCCGTCTGAAGTTTGCTAGAGTGCATTTGGATGATCCAGAAGAGGATTGGGAGAATGTCATATGGTCAGATGAAACCAAAATAGAACTTTTTGGTAAAAACTCAACTCGTCGTGTTTGGAGGACAAAGAATGCTGAGTTGCATCCAAAGAACACCATACCTACTGTGAAGCATGGGGGTGGAAACATCATGCTTTGGGGCTGTTTTTCTGCAAAGGGACCAGGACGACTGATCCGTGTAAAGGAAAGAATGAATGGGGCCATGTATCGTGAGATTTTGAGTGAAAACCTCCTTCCATCAGCAAGGGCATTGAAGATGAAACGTGGCTGGGTCCTTCAGCATGACAATGATCCCAAACACACCACCCGGGCAACGAAGGAGTGGCTTCGTAAGAAGCATTTCAAGGTCCTGGAGTGGCCTAGCCAGTCTCCAGATCTCAACCCCATAGAAAATCTTTGGAGGGAGTTGAAAGTCCGTGTTGCCCAGCGACAGCCCCAAAACATCACCGCTCTAGAGGAGATCTGCATGGAGGAATGGGCCAAAATACCAGAAACAGTGTGTGAAAACCTTGTGAAGACTTACAGAAAACGTTTGACCTGTGTCATTGCCAACAAAGGGTATATAACAAAGTATTGAGAAACTTTTGTTATTGACCAAATACTTATTTTCCACCATAATTTGCAAATACATTCATTAAAAATCCTACAATGTGATTTTCTGGAAAAAAAATTCTCATTTTGTCTGTCATAGTTGACGTGTACCTATGATGAAAATTACAGGCCTCTCTCATATTTTTAAGTGGGAGAACGTGCACAATTGGTGGCTGACTAAATACTTTTTTCCCCCACTGTATTAACCAACACACACCTGTAAAAACCCCTTACTCCAACACACACGCAAGCACACAACCCCTCACTCCAAAATGCGTACCTCCTCCAACATGCATACACACACAGGAATGTACATGTATGTAAACACACACACACACACACACACACACACACACAGAAACGGAAGAAAACACTCCCAAGCGTTATGGACGTCATTATTGTGCATATTATGTAAAATAACATTTCTATGTCAACCTCTCTGTGCAATTTTCTGAATACCACCTATCGTTTATCAGAGTGAAGAACTGACATTACTGATAGAGTTGCTCTTTAATCTACATGTTGTGTGAACTCTGTTTTTATATGTAACATGTGTAGTGGGGACTCCATAAGATAAATGGCAATATGCAAGAGACTATAGTTAAACCATGTGCAATCAAGTATTATGTTAAGATCAAATAATGGTTATGAGAAGCGAGTATCAAAGCAAGTAATATTTAATAACTTTATAAAATGAATGGATTCACATACAAGGCATAAAGCTTAAGTTACAAAGCATTAACAAGCATTATTGTTGGCATGGTCAGAGAGAGAGAGAGACAAAGAAACTATGTCTTGAGCCATGGCACATAGCTCATGAGAGAGGGAGAAAGAAAGAAAGATAGAGTATCTCACCACAGCAATTCAGGAACAAAAAATAGAAAGAACAATGAATCTAAGACATTTTATAATGTCTGAGTTGTTTGGATACAGAATCTGAGTTGTTGACCAATAGCATTACTGTAAAATTTACCTCAGATCAGATATCAGACCTACAGACCTGTAAAGACAACAGAACGTCTGCCACCCAGAGGTGCAACAATGGGGGTTGGTGAGATCAACACAGAGGAATCCTTGTATACAGTTGATAAGTAACTCTAGGGGCTGGGCCACCCTACACATATATCCACTTATGTGTTTTGATATGAGCTATAAAAGAGTTCACCTGTTAAATGTATTTTACTCACCCCACTACCTGACTAAATCCCTTTATTCCCCAATCATTGATTATTTCATTGCCTGTGTGGACACTGGGCATGGAATAGCCATCACTACTACACAGTGTGCCTGTGGATTTATTATGTTATGTTTCATCATAATGTAAAAATGATAACAGTAGCTGCACTTCACTTAGATACATGTTTGTTTTCATAGTTTAATGTGAGGTTGCTTAGAGCAGTTGCTTTAAGGGGTGCATGCTTTGTTTCATTCAATTGTAAAATGTGAAATCAGACACACAGCTGATTAATCCAGACAGGGAGATTTGCTAATTCATGTGTTAATTTGTAATAAAATATATTAACAAGAATATGTATGGTGTAGCATGTAACGTGCAATGTGTGTGTGTCCTGTACATGTGTGTGTTTGTAATCTTTGCTCTTAAACCCTTTCATAACAGAAGGTCATGAGCAGATCAATCTAATCTGTCTTTGTTCCTGCCCAGCATCCCTCCAAGCCTCCTGACAGCCCAGGACACACACACTCCACATCCTAGCCATGTGTCAGAGTAGGGGAGGGCAGGGGGGGGAGATGGAAACATGAAGAGATGGTGAATTAGGATGTGAACATGGTCATGAACAGAAATAAATATTTAGAGAATAGTAGACAATCCCATTTGTTCATGCGTGTGGGTATGACAAGAGAGATGAGGAGACAGGTGGATATATTTTTGGTTAATCCTCTTTTTGGTACCTTTATTTAAAGACCCAATCTAATAGAATATATGATCTAGTCTCCCTGTCACCAGTATTTGACCTGGGCACTGGGCCATGTTATCTCACCCTCAGGCCCGGGTAGATTAAATGATACGGGAGAGAGTCCGTGTAGCTCAGTTGGTAGAGCATGGTGCTTGCAACGCCAGGGTTGTGGGTTCGATTCCCACTGGGGGCCAGTATGACAAAATTATTCTATTTTCTAAACTTGTTTTTGTTTTTTATGTTTTATTTTCTGTAAGAATGAGCCAGTCTGTTGCATATCTGAGGTGCACATTTGGTACTTAAGTGCCACCTAGTGGTATATTTTAAGTATTTGTGTAACAAGCAATGAGACAAATTCACCAGACTGTATTTATAACGTTTTATTTTATGAACCCTGGCTATAATCTGCCTGGGATTATCTTGGAATGGACTTGAATGCAGTTCATTAACATTTAATTTAGAACACTGAGCCTGAGAATACTGAATATAAAGTATAACCAGTAACAGAACAGCTACGAATAACTAACAAAAAACCCAACCCAAAAACATTGTTTTGAGTGGAAAATGTGTTGGGTGTAAACCAGTGGCTGCGAAATAACTCAGTTATCGCTGTGCTCCATAGCAGCCCTCTGTGCTTACATTGTACCTGTCTTCAGCAAAACAAGGCTTTCCCAGATTAAACACATAAACCTAGTGTTGTTAATGCTATCACAACCTTCTGCAGGGTTAGTCCAGCTCCTCAATGAGACAACGTGGTTTGCTGGCTTCAGGGCTCTGCCTCTGTCTGGGTTCTCCCTGAGGTTCTGATATCACCTGCTCTGGGGCATCCCCCGCCTCTGGGTCCAATGCTACTAGGTGATTGGTGGGCGATTTGTTTAATGTGTTGTCACAGACTCTGAACAGTGAATGTGAGCATGGATCTGAGGTGGGTGTGGTCTTTGTGGTCCACACTGTCCCAATCTGATGTATGATTGGGTCTTCATCGTTGTTGTCCCCTGAAATTACCTCTATCTTTGGCCGGAATACTCGCTGGAAACACAGGTGGTCAATTCAGACACAACACAGCTGACCCAAATTAAATACACTCTGTGCTGACCTAATAAAATATTAGTATTTGAGACTAATTGAGAGACTAATTGTGTGTACAGTATTTGGAATATACCTGCTGACTATTGTACAATAAATGCTAAAGGTATTATTTCTTTTGGGTAATCATAGTTACAGCCTAGTGTGTGGTATGTAATGTACCTGAGAGGAGAAGATGCAGGTGCTGTCTGGATCTTCAACGTCCACATCCTCCAGGTCAGGGAGATCCTGTGGAGAGTCAGGTGACCATTAGTCAGGGGTCAAGGCTTTAGTGCTCTAAATTAAGGTTAGAGTCAAGAGCTAAATGATAAGCCTCTGAGGCAGTCTGAGCTTTTGGATAAGACACTGATGGAGAGGGACTTGATAACAACAACAAAACGTTATTACAGTGTAATAATCACTCTATTATAGTGATAGTGACTGGTAATGCTTGGCTGTGGTGGTCAGTCTGACTCACATCAATACGAAGTGGTGGGCGTGGCTCCAGGTGGATGGTCTCCAGGTCCTCTGTCTCCTCTAGCTCGGTCACCATTGGTCCAGGACCGTGCTCTACAATCACCCCAGCTGTCTGAGACTGTGGCTGGCCACATACTGACTGCTCTCTCTCTAACTTCTGCCTTCTTTGTAGTTGTTCTCTCTTTGACTGGTTTACATCTAACAGTTCTTCCTTTAAGCTTTCTTCTGCTGCTTGCTCTCCATCTGGCAGATGTCCCTCTTGGTGCTCTCTCTCTAGCTGATCTCCCTCTTGGTGCTCTCTCTCTAGCTGATGTCCCTCTTGGTGCGCTCTCTCTAGCTGATGTCCCTCTTGGTGCTCTCTCTCTAGCTGATGTCCCTCTTGGTGCTCTCTCTCTAGCTGATGTCCCTCTTGGTGCTCTCTCTCTAGCTGATCCCTCTTGGTGCTCTCTCTCTAGCTGATGTCCCTCTGGTGCTCTCTCTCTAGCTGATGTCCCTCTTGGTGCTCTCTCTCTAGCTGATGTCCCTCTTGGTGCTCTCTCTCTAGCTGATCTCTCTTCGGATCCTCTCTTTCTAGTTGTTCTCTGTCTAGCTGCTCCTTCTGTGGCTGTTCATTCCATAGCTCCTCCTTTTCTGGCTGTTCTCTCTGTGTCTGTAGGAACTCTTCATGGGCCTCCAGACTGTCCTCCACAAACGCCTGGATCCTCTCCTCCCAGCCCGGGCTCTGATTCTGGCTCTGGTTCTCTTCACTGGGGCTCTCAAGTTCTGGAGTTGTGGTGGTCTCACACTCCCCTAGAAAAGGTCAACACACCCTTATCAAACCTTCTCTACGTCGTGTGTGTATGAGTGTGCAAGTGTGTGTGTGTGTCTGTGTGGATATGAGTGTGTGTGTGCGTACCTCTCTCTTGCAGCTCTCTGAGTCGCAGTCTCTCCCTGGCTTGGTCTCTGATGTTTGCAATAGCGTCCAGACTCTCCTGGATCTTCCTTCTCTCTCGCGTTTGCCACGATTCCCTCTCCCTGCGCTCCCCCTCCGGACCCGCTGTCCCCCACGCCTCCGCACACGCCCTTCATACCGCAACCACATGATAATCATACAGCAACCAAAGACCAACATCACAGACGACACAATGATTCAACCATAAGTATGACATGCACAGGCAAATAGAGACCAACTGGTAATGCACCTGTCCTTTGGGAACACAGGTCGGTCATCCAGGTACGTGAGCTGTTTTAGACGTATGATCATAGTCTTCCTGTAGTATGGGATTTTCTTTATCACTTCATTTCCCATCAGGTTCAGCACGCGCTGAGGAGGAGGGAACAACAAGGGTGTAATCACACACATACACAGGCTTGGGTATATTATCAGCATGAAGCAAGAGTATTAGCATGTTATAGTCAGTGTGTCATGAGCATGGGCATACTAATGAATAAAGATGATATGATCTCTATTAGCATACAGTATCGTTCATCTGTGTGAGCCGGTTGTGAGCATATCTTCTCACCAGTTCAGGCATTCTCTCCAGCACAGTGAGGATGTCTGGGTCATCCAGCAGGTTGTGGGACATGTCCAGTACACTGAGGGAGAGGCACTGACTCAGATGCTCCACGTCTCCCACTGTCTGCAGCTTATTATGGGCTATCTGCAGGGTGCCCAGATCAGGCAGGCAGGCTGGGAAAATACTCACAAATCAGATTGATGGAGACACATTTATACGCACTGAGATAGCCTGATAGGTGTGGTACATAGAGTGAGGACAGACTCACCAATGTTTTTGATGGTGCGTATGTAGTTGTTGCAGACGTTGAGGGTGCAGAGCTTGCTGAGTGGTTCTAAGTTCTCCAGATTGTGTATGAGGTTCTGGTGGAGGAAGAGGCAACGTAGGTCTGTTTGGGCCTGCAGGTTCTGGATGCGCTGCAGCCCGTTGCACTCCAGCCAGAGACACTTCAGCCCTGTGTACTCCTCCAGATTCTCTATGGTGGAGAAGCCTAAGAGGGGAAAACACAAAACATAAAACAAATAACATTAGAATACTACAAGAACACTAACAGTGCAGTTGTATTCCACCTACAATTCTATGTAGATCACACAAAGCTTATGATTTGAATTTCTATAAATTATTCATGCACAATATATCTAAACCATCCATAAACAACAACAATAGTTCCACACACACCTTTGAAGTGCAAATACAGTGTGTCATTCAATCGAGGTGTCATGTAGAGTTTATTTTGCTTGCAGTGGTCCTTCAGAAATGTCTTTGTCATTCTGAGGAACATAAAGCGTCACTAGTTAGAATGCTAGACAGAATGAACAAGAATGCTAGTAGACTACTGATAGCCAAGTCCTAGCTTTTAAGATGACCTTGGACCTGAGTCCTTCTCCTTTTTCTCTTGTTGTTGGGCTTGTATGAGTTTGTCAACTTCTGTCTGTGAGGACACAGAACGTTCTCCTTCGATAACGTTTGCCAGGGGGCTGCAGTTCGCCGTGGAGGCCTCCTCCTCTGAAGTGAGAGAGGAGGATAACTTTAGACATGGCTAGACACATGGGTTGATTTAACATGTTGCCACGTGCTGACGATTATGCTAAATTATATTTTTAGTGAACTGTCTAACCATGATTACTGGAAGTTGTTGACATCGTGTCCAGCAATATTTCTGCATCTCCAGCTTGCAGGGTCGTCCTGGAGTCCCCGCCACTCTCTTCTTCCACCTCACCGGATTCGAGGGGTATAGGATGCATCGTCGATAGTTTTAAGTGATTACTACTACTATATACCATTTACTTGTTTAGTTAACAGTTTTTGATTACGTATTATCCAGTTGAAATAACTTGTTATAAACTCCCTATCAACTATTTTCCGGTAAAGCTTTTCTGTGTTTCCATAGGAACGGTGAAACACCAAACGACGACCGCCCCTCTCATGATTGGGTGTGCAAGCCAGAGCCATATTTTTTTATACTGTCATACTGTCATACTGAGAACAAGGTCTCTTTTACAGATGAGCCCTGAAGTTTGAACACCCAACGTTTGTGACAGAATCAACTGAAGAACTAAAATATTTTTTTAACAACTGACGTCATAGTGAGAGTTGGGCGAACCTTTGTAACTGAGAGGTCTATTTGAAAAGCGTAGCTTTCTATGAAGACATCTAGATCTTGGCTTACCGTTGCAACACGTTGTTCCACGCTAGTGCAGTGACATGAGCAAGACAGAAGGGGGCAACACGAGCATGCGGACGCGAAGCTTCACTCAAACCGAGCTGGACGCGGTGTCCCGTTCCTCTTATTTCCAGCGCATATTACCGGAGGTAAATCAAATGCATAGCTATGGGACATCAAATATCCGCCTAGGCCTACATCATTGCACCACAGTGTATTATTCTCATCTGATATGAGTTGCAGTAAACATGGGAAAGTCAGTGCCTTAGCCTTAACTCTGTGCCAAAAAGGTCAAAGGGCTAAACGAACAGATGCTGGTCTATTGCCCCTCTGTAAAGACATGGCCCAAATACAAAACCCAATGTAAAAGGGATCACATTTCCAACAAAGGTCTACGAGACTGGATTCACTCACTGCTGCCATGTAGCAACTGAGGTGGTAGGCTACATCCGGGGCAGGGCTTGTTTTGAACCAGTAATCCTGTAGTAAAATATGCTTCCAGGGACGCTACTACCGCCAATGATGGCATTAGCCAATCACAGTGTTTTATATACACAGCGTGAGGACCAAGGAAGGGTTTATGATGCAGTGTTCCACCTCAGGGAGGGGTATGAGCCCAAAGTGTCTACGTGATGACAAGGCTGTGAACCTTACACTGAACATTAATAAGGAGGTAAGTATTTACAAAGCCTCTTCTCTGGGCCATAATCTTTCTGAAGATGTACCTTCATTTTTGCCAGTCCACTTAGAACTCCTCCTGGCCATTATTGATGTCAATGATTGATGAACCATTTTGTCCTGTTGCACCAGGAAAGGGGTAGGCAGGTGCCTGTTCTCTCATCGTCTATGTATGGCTGGCGTGTGGACAAGCCCCTGGAGGCTCCCTACAAGAAGAACGCACGCGTGCAGATGGTGAACAAGGGGTTCTTCCGATCCCGAGGGACCTGCATCCCACTGGAGACAGAAATAGGAGAGTTGAATGAAAAATGCAAACCTTAATAAAAGATGCAAAGTGAAACTTTATGCACTGTAGGATATACAGTACCAGTCAAAAGTTTGGACACACCTACTCATTCAAGGGATTTTCTTTATTTTGACTATTTTCTACATTGTAGAATAATAGTGAAGACATCAAAACTATGAAATAACACATAAAGTGTTAAACAAATCAAAATATATTTTATATTTGAGATTCTTCAAATAGCCACCCTTTGCCTTGATGACAGCTTAGCACACTCTTGGAATTCTCTCAACCAGCTTCACCTGGAATGCTTTTCCAACAGTCTTGAAGGAGTTCCCACATATGCTGAGCACTTGTTGGCTGCTTTTCCTTCGCTCTGTGGTCCGACTCATCCCAAACCATCTCAATTGGGTTGAGGTCGGGGGATTGTGGAGGCCTGGTCATCTGATGCAGCACTCCATCACTCTCCTTCTAGGTACAATAGCCCTTACACAGCCTGGAGGTGTGTTGGGTCATTGTCCTGTTGAAAAACAAATGATAGTCCCACTAAGCCCAAACCAGATGGGATGGCGTATCGCTGAAGAATGCTGTGGTAGCCATGCTGGTTAAGTGTGCCTTGAATTCTAAATAAATCACAGACACTGTCACCAGCAAAGCACCCCCACACCATAACACCTCCTCCTCCATGCTTTACGGTGGGAAATACACATGCAGAGATCATCCGTTCACCCACACCGCGTCTCACAAAAACACTCCAGACCAAATAACACATTTCCACCGGTCTAATGTCCATTGCTCGTGTTTCTTGGCCCAAGCAGGTCTCTTCTTCTTATTGATGTCCTTTAGTAGTGGTTTCTTTGCAGCAATTCGACCATGAAGGCCTGATTCACACAGTCCCCTCTGAACAGTTGATGTTGAGATGTGTCTGTTACTTAAACTCTGTGAAGCATTTATTTGGGCTGCAATTTCTGAGGCTGTTAACTCTAATGAACTTATCCTCTGCAGCAGATGTAACTCTGGGTCTTCCATTCCAACACAACTGATTGGCTCAAACGCAAGAAATTCCACAAATAAACTTTTAAGAAGGCACACCTGTTAATTGAAATGCATTCCAGGTGACTATCTCATGAAGCTGGTTGAGTGAATGCCAAGAGTCTGCAAAGCTGTCATCAAGGCAATGGGTGGCTATTTGAAGAATCTGAAATATAAAATATATTTTGATTTGTTTAACAACCTTTTTGGTTACTACATGATTCCATATGTGTTATTTCATAGTTTTGATGTCTTCACTATTGTTCTACAATAAAGAAAAACCCTTGAATGAGTAGGTGTGTCCAAACTTTTGACTGGTAGTGTATATGTCAAACACACACACACACACACACACACACACACACACACACACGCTCTCTTATACATTTGCAACCGGAAAGAGAGGATCCGGACAGAGATCAGCTAGAGAGCGAGCAACAAGAGGGTTGGAGGTCAGCCAGAGGGAGAACAAGCACAGCAGCAGAATAAAGTACTGAGACTGTGAGATAATGGCATTTAAGCCCTTGTTCTACTTACCCAGAGTCAGATGAACTCATGGATACCATTTTTATGTCTCTGCATGTAGTATGAAGGAAGTAGCCGTAGTTTCGTGAGCCAATGCTAACTTGTGTTGGCACAATGACTGGAAGTCTACAGGTACAGTAGCATTGCGAGAGAGAGCATCTACAAAAAAGGCAGACAGAGAGAGAAGTTAGAGAGAGTGGTCAGTATATGGCCAGCCAAAGTCTCAGACAGCTGAGGTGATCATAGAGCAGAGTTGGAGAGTAACTAATTACATGTAATCAGTTACATATAATCTGATTACAAAACAACTGTAAATGGAATAATTTACATAGCCAGCAAAAATATTGTAATCATATTGAAGATACTTTTGAAAAACTCTATGATTACTTCTTGGTTTACTTTTAAATGTAGAAAGGATGTGTGTGAAAAAATATATTATGACACCTTTCTTATTTCTCAATGACATTCAACTCATCATTGAAAAAGGCACACGTTTAAATTTGTTCCACCTGAGCGAGTCTGACCACAAGTCAGAGACCACAATGATGACACACCAAATGCATTTGATGGATCCTTTCTGTCTTCTTCTAATGCCTCTTAAAGGGAAAGTAATCAAAAAGTTAAGTAATCAGATTACGTTACTGAGTTTGGGTAATCCAAAAGTTACGTTATTGATTACAATTTTGGACAGGTAATTTACAGATTATATTTAGAAAGTAACCTACCCAGCCCTGTCGTAGAGCACCATCCTGGACCAATGGTGACCGAGCTAGAGGAGACAGAGGACCTGGAGACCATCCACCTGGAGCCACGCCCACCACTTCGTATTGATGTGAGTCAGACCGACCACCACACCCAAGCATTACCAGTCACTATCACTATAATAGAGTGATTATTACACTGTAATAACGTTTTGTTGTTGTTATCAAGTCCCTCTCCATCAGTGTCTTATCCAAAAACTCAGACTGCCTCAGACTCTTATCATTTAGCTCTTGACTCTAACCTTAATTTAGAGCACTAAAGCCTTGACCCCTGACTAATGGTCACCTGACTCTCCACAGGATCTCCCTGACCTGGAGGATGTGGACGTTGAAGATCCAGACCGCACCTGCATCTTCTCCTCTCAGGTACATTACATACCAAACACAGGGAAAGAGGAAGAACCTGAGATAATTTATTCTCTATTGACTTACAGCCCTCTGCTGCATGCTATTTGTCAGCTGCACCTGAGAGATGACCCTATGACCCCTGACCTGGTCCTGATCCTAAAGTTTACATTACAAACAAGGAGGGTTTTCCATCTGTCAAAACTGACAAGTTGTACTTGTAAATCACAAAGGTTTTACCTGCTGATCATACAACTCATTTAATTTAGCAAGGATAGCTTCGGGAGACTAGATCATCCAAATAAGCAGTTGTCAGGTGCGCTGTCAGCATGCGTCACCCACAGGAGGTTGGTGGTACCTTAATTGGGGAGAACGGGCTTGTGGTAATGACTGGAGCGGAATCACTGGAATGGTATCAAATACATCAAACACATGGTTTCCAGGTGTTTGATGACATTCCATTTACTCTGTTCCGGTCATTATGATGTGCTCCGGTGATACTGTTTGCAACTTGGCACGAATCACTCTCGTGCCGAATTCCTTTGAGCATATTTTACTCTCAGTGGGCCTCTGTGTAGTCTGAGTTAACCCGAATTCTAGAGGAATGTCGCTAGTATCACTTTTACGCACATGCACCTTTATGCACCGCGCTCCTCTCTTCCTATACGTGCCGCTGCCAGCCACCGTTTTTCATAGAACTGGACAACGAGCTGATAACCACTAAACAGGACATATTATCCCACTAGGCAAACACTGGTTGAATCAACGTTGGTTCCACGTCATTTCAATGAAATTACGTTTAACCAACGTGGAATATACGTTGAATTGAAGTCAGTACCCAGTGGGATGTCAGGTGTCCCAGTCACACAGACACACACACACACACATTAACGGTCGCAGCCTGGTATCATATTTGTCACCTCAGAGTGAAATGTGTTGGCTGTTTTATTTGAGTCCACCTCGGATTCTCTTGTGTAATTATGGCGCGTGGAAGCCTCGTGGACAGAAAGAGCGGTCACCTAGGGTAGGCCTATATATACAGTTTATGTAGCAAAAATGTATGAATGCCGACTTTTTCTTTCTGAAGCCATAACGCTGAGGACTCGATGGGACTGGAAACTTCAGCGACACTTCATTTAAATTAATCTCCTCACACTCTATTGCTATTTGAGGCTCGACGCGCTTGAAGGCAGAAGCGCTTTGGAGCGCACCGGTAACATCTGCCATCCCGACCCCAGCAAACTGTACTGCAAAGACGGACAAGGACGGTGACCTGTGTGGCCAAACATGGAAGAACTTGCCCGTGAGAGTATCAGCCTGTTGGCGAGGTCTGCGTCGCACGCGGATCCCCCACGGCTCGGTTCGTTCGGTGCCATCTTCATCATGCTCAAATCTGCCCTCGGCGCGGGACTGCTTAACTTCCCGTGGGCTTTCGAGAAGGCGGGAGGAGTGAATACAGCCATCAGCGTTGAAATGGTGAGCGCAATCAATAAATCGAGAACCAAAATAGTGGGATTTTTCAAAAAAAAGAGGAAAGTAATAAAACAGAAAACCTTTTTTTGTCCACACAATCAAGACGTGCTGTAACTAGGTGTCAATTCAATCAAACATGCACTATGGGAAATCTGTGGAAGTCATAGCACCCTTGCCCCATGTTGCACCCTTCATTAAAGTCAAAATGAGTTTACTTCATCCTGTAAATACTGAAATGTTCTCATATTAGTTTGTGTGTGTGTGTGTGTGTGTCACAGTGGCGGACTGGTCTTCTGGCATATCAGGCAAATGCCAGATGGGCTGGTCCATTTTTAGCCCAGTGGGCCTGTTTTACTTTTCTTTTGCGTAAAATTAACTGACTAATAATGGGTGCCTCAAGGAAAAAATGGGCCGGTGTGGAGGCCTCAAGGAAAGAAATGGGCCAGTGTGTGGGCCTCAAGGAAAATAATGATCTGGTGTGTTAGAAATGCCAGGACTGATTTCTGGTCCTAGTCTGCCCCTGTGTGTGTTTGCCTGTGTGTGGCGGCATACACCCATGGCCTAGGCCTGCTTTGTTGAATTTCCTCTCCTTGGTGTGAATGAGATGCATCTTTTCACAGGCTAACTCTAATGAAGGGCTCATGGGTCAAGAGCCGGGCAGGCGCCCATGCATGTATACTGTAATAGCAGCAGGACCCACAACGAAGGCCTGCGTGTGTGTGTTTGTGTGCATATGTGCTTGTGTCTGTGTGTGCATGTGTGCTTCTTTCTGTATGTGTCTGATTGGTGGATGATTTAATCCATCAGGGTTATGACACACAATTATTCTAGTGGTTTCCTTCTCACTGTATCATTGATGGGGAACATGTTTTGCATTTAAACTGCCAAGTGTGAGCTCCCTGTCAAACTTCTATCACCTATCCAAACAATTTTAGGGATTCAATTCAGGGAGGAAGGGAGAATAGCGCTGGAACCATTTACATGCTCAGACATAACGATATATGTACTGCAAAACACTCTCTTTCACCCCGACCCCCACCCCCAGGTGTCACTGGTGTTCCTGATCAGCGGATTGATCATCCTGGGCTATGCCTCGTCCATCAGCAGAAAGAACACCTATCAGGACGTGGTGCGAGAGGTGTGTGGGGGAGCCATCGGCCAGCTGTGTGAGGTCTGCTTCTGCTTCAACCTCTTCATGATCTCTGTGGCCTTCCTGGTGGTGGTGCAGGACCAGCTGGACAAACGTGAGTGATAACGTCCCGGCCAGCATTGGCACAGCATCACGCCATTCCCACAATGGCCCTGTAGCCACAGTTATAAATGGATGCGGTTATCTGGTATACCGATAGAACCACCAACGTCCTGAATATGTTTTAACGTGCGTCTATGAGGGTTTTCCATTAGGTGTTTTCATCCTGTTGTTTCCTCTGTGTGTTCCAGTGTGTGTGTCTCTGTATGAGATGGTGACGGGGTCCTTTGAGGGCGAGATGCCGTACCACTGGTATACAGACCATCGCTTCCACCTCTTCATCATGTGCCTCATCTTCATCCTCCCTCTCTCCATCCCCAAAGAGATTGGCATCCAGAAATACACCAGGTGTGTCGGTTGGAGCGCGGGTGTTTGCCTGTGTAGTATGTGTTGTGCATGTGTGTGTGTGTTTGAAATTGGGATACTACATGGTTATTCATACTCCCTATTTCCCCTCTCTTTCTTTGACTCTTTGTCTCTCTCTGTATCACTCAGTGTGCTGGGCACTCTGGCTGCTACATATCTCTGTGTGGCTGTCATCGTCAAATACTACATGATGGATGAACATTCGGCCGTCATTACCCCAGAGCACAGTGAAGGGTCAGTGAGTGTGTGAGTTGGGTTGTGTGAGTATGTGTATGTATGCGAATGTGTGTTTGTGTGCACGTGTTTCTTCGGCAAGTATGAGTATGCTTGTGCATATGTTGTGTGTGATTATCTGTTATTCTCTGTCTTCTGTGTTTTCTAGAATAGATTCATGGGCTTCAATGTTCAGCGTCGTCCCCACCATCTGTTTTGGCTTCCAGGTACAGAAAAGCTTTTAACTGTTTGAAGTCTGGAGGCAGTTAGTATCTGTACTATAGGGTTATGCATTTGCTTGTGTGTGTGTGTTACACTGCTACAACACCTATACTCTGTTTGTGTATTATTAGTATGTATATGAATGTGTGTTTTTGTATTATTAGTATGTATATGAATGTGTGTTTGTGTATTATTAGTATGTATATGAATGTGTGTTTGTGTATTATTAGTATGTATATGAATGTGTGTTTGTGTGTTGCAGTGCCATGAGGCCTGTATAGCCATCTACAGCAGCATGGAGAACAAGAAGCTCTCCCATTGGGTGATCATCTCCGTGATCTCTATGTTCTTCTGCCTGCTCATCTACACCCTTACAGGTGAGCTGGCATGTCAACCATGGAATAATCCCTCCTTCCTTGAAGTAATCACTGATCAGTGGTTGGATTGGTGAAAGCAGTTGGATAGTTTTAGCGTTGAGCAGTGAATACCTCAAGGAAAACAAGGATGGATTTAAAGATTCAAGTATGCATGACAAGGATGCAAGGAAGTATTCAAACAGGACCTGATGTCCAGCTGTTTAGTGCATTGTGGGAGATGGCGTTTAGACACTTGGCTATTGGCCATGCATTCTCTTCCAGGCAAGGCAGGCTGTCAGTCATATCCCTTTCTCTGTTCTCAGGCATCTTTGGCTTCCTGACATTTGGGCGCACAGTGGCGGCTGATATTCTGATGTCATATCCTGGAAATGATGTGGTCATGATCATTGCCAGACTGCTATTTGGAATCTCAATCATCACCATCTATCCAATTATACTTCTGTTGGGAAGGTAGGGCCCCACTTGGACAATACAGGCAGTTGTTTCTGTGTGTTACCATGTAACGGAGTCTGTGTGTGGACATTTATGTTAATTTCACAGGTCTGTCATTCTGGACCTGATGTTGCGTATTCGTCGCCGCCGGCGCGGTGGGGTCACACGCTCTTTTGAGAACCGCTGCAGAGTGATTCTGACTGTCATCTGGATCACAGTCACCCTCCTCATCGCCATGTTTGTCCCTGACATGAGTGAGGTCATCAGCGTTATTGGAGGAATCAGTGCCTTCTTCATCTTTATCTTCCCTGGTATGAAACAAAGTGTGTGTGTGTGTGTGTGTGTGTGTATGTAGGCGTGTGTCTGAGGTTGTTTGTGAATCACAAGCGTTCCTGTGTTGAGCTGATCCTGTGTTTGTGTAAACTTGTGTCAACTAACATTGAGATGTGTGTTGCAGGGCTTTGCCTGGTATTCACTATGCAGTCAGAGCCTGTGTCGCCCATAGTCAGGTGAGTGGAGTAGTTTGAAGTTATGAGATCACCTGGTGGTGTTGAATTGAATCACAAACTGCCCACAAAACATGAGTTAACTGAAGTTGTGGTCCAATAAATTGCATACTATTGCATTACTATTGTAGACATTCATGAATGGACCTGATTGCACCCATCTCTTTCTCCTCTGTCTCTCTATCCCTCTCTCTCCCTGTCTGCAGGGTGGTGTGCACTGTGTGGGGGGTGATTACTGTAATTGTTGGAGCCTTCATTTTTGGACAGAGCACTACCATTGCCATCATGGAGATCTTCCACAAATTCTGATAATCATCACCATCAGAACCACCAATGTCACCAGCACTATCAGCTTTACCAGCATCATTATCATTACAACAACATCATTATGATTGTACCTGGGTTCTGTTTGAGGTTCATTATGTTTTTAAACTTGAGGTTTATGGGAGTCAGAAGTCTAGAATAACATATTGATGTAGTGCTGCTATATCAACACTGCATGTGAGGCACATAACCTAATTATATTTTATTTGCTTGTATCCCAAATGTATGCAGTATGGAGCATATATGTCCTTGTTTATCAGATTTTATGTTTTCTGAAATAGTTTGAAAGAAGTACTTCACTTATTTATGGATTTTACTGCAACTGTAAAAGCACAAAATGAATGCATCTATAGTATGTTTGGAGGTTTGGATAGGGAAATTGATCTATGTATTTATGTATGCATGGACATGTATGTGTATTCGTAAATGATTCTTCCTTTATGGCCATCACAACTAATCACAACAGATATGCAGCTACAGTTCAGTCAGCGTGCAGTGTGTCATGTTGCAGAGCTGTGGCAGGGGGCAGTGTTGCATAGGGATGAAGGTAGGAAGACAATGAGTTCTTCCACAATGAGTTTCTTCCACAATGAGTTCTTCCACAATATTGTAAATAAAGACTGCACCTCAGAATGACAGAACATATGGAAACACTTCCGTTTTCTCTCCCTCTGTACCGTATTTCTAAATTTTTTGCTCTGCATCTTTCCTTCTCTCCCGCTCTCCCTCCACACTGACCTCCCTCTATCCCAACTGTGAGTAGCAGTCTATCAGTTATGGTGCGGTGTAGAGCCTGACAGCGGAGATGCTGAATTTGACTGTTATAGTGTTAACCAACATCAGACTCAGGAGTTATAGCAGAGTGTGAAGCATGTGTGTGAGTAGGTGTGAGTCGGTGAGTGAATGAGTTATGTGACAGAGTGGGGAAATGAGGGATATACTGTATCTATGCATAGAGAGACATAGGCCGAAACCACAGATCAGGCTGCTGACAACACACACAGACAGACACACACACACACAGACACACACACACACACACACACACACACACACACACACACACAGAGACACAGACAGACAGACACAGACACAGCCTTTATACCTTATACACATTCACAACAGTGTAACATCATTATATCTGCCTCCTTATTTGCCCTTGGCAAATTAAATTCCTTAAATTCAATAAATTGGCACTATTAGAAGACAATTGAGTAATTACTGGATATTATTATGTAAATTAAACAGGAAGACAATGGAACTGACCTTCAAGCATTTATTTAATGTGACAGTGGCAGCACAAGATCACGCACACGCACACACTCACACACACACACACACACACACACAGCTCTGATAGCTCGCAAGCTGACGGTAGAATATGGTAATGATTACTATGGCTCAAACAGAGGGAGAGGAGATTGGGGTTTGTGCATTTCCCCCCCAGATCTTTACTGGCAGGGAGTGACTGAGAGGGAAACACTGTGCTCGGATGATCAATCATAAACACATTTAATCCTCTTAGTCACACATTATTTGCTTTGTTATTTTGCTGTCAGGCTTCTTGAGAATACTTGAAACGTGTGAGTGAGTGTGTGTGTGGGTGGGTGTGTGTGTATTGAAGTTTGTGTGATTTGAAGATTGTACCGGCGTTTCAAATATACAATAATTATATCGCTAGTAGCTGACAGATTGCCCTGTGATCCATGCACAAGCAGGCTATCATAACCTACACTGCATTGCTCTGTACTGCCTGAGGTATCTAAAACACACGTCAGAGCTTGAATAAAGTAAATGTTCAAAACATGACCGTATCGCAGATGAAGAGATTGATTATGTAATTGAAGGCACCATCAAGGAGCAACTCTCTGCTTCTATTTATAGGTGTTTTTTTCTTTTTGAAGGCTGTTTGTTAATAGGTTAATTTTGAGAAAAAATGCTAACGCTGTAATCTGTGGCAGATATTGCAATTATCGTCTCACTGCTGCACCGTCCATCATTGGTAATGAGAGGGATTTCTCTATGAGTTAGGGAATAACTGGAAACTGGGATAACAGGAAGTAAACACATGATACATAATCTACAGTATATGCATGAAATACACTGAGTATACCAAACATTAGGAACACTTTCCTAATATTGAGTTTTGCCCAGACTGAATTTGTCGGGGGATGGACTCTACAAGGTGTCGAAAGCATTCCACAGGGATGCTGGTCCATGTTGACTCTAATGCTTCCCACAGTTGTGTCAAGTTGGCTGGATGTCCTTTGGGTGGTGGACCATTCTTGATACACATGGGAAACTGTTGAGCGTGAAAAACCCAGCAGCGTTGCAGTTCTTGACATAAAAGCCTGGTATCTATTACCATACCCTGTTCAAAGGCGACACTTACTGTACATTTTTCACCCTCTGAATGGCACACATACACAATCCATGTCTCAATTGTCTCAAGGCTTAAAAATCCTTCTTTAACCTGTCTCCTCCCCTTCATCTACACTGATTGAAATGGATTTAACAAGTGACATCAATAATGGATCATAGATTTCACCTGGATTCACCTGGTCAGTCTATTTCATGGAAAGAGCAGGTGTTCCTAATGTTTTGTATACTCAGTGTAATAATAATATAATATGCCATTTAGCAGACGCTTTTATCCAAAGCGACTTACAGTCATGCGTGCATATATATATATATTTTTTTGTGTGTGTATGGGTGGTCCCGGGGATCGAACCCACTACCATGGCGTTACAAGCGCCGTGTTCTACCAGCTGAGCTACATAGGACCATTAAGACTTGAGGCACAGTGACTGGTAGATATCAAACGGTACACGGTATAGAAAATGATGAGTATAGAACTAGAACGACTAATGTTACAAAAATACAATTGAATGCATAGTGTACATCTAGAAATCAAAAGGGAAGACCACAGCCATATATTTAAAATCAAAACGTTGATATTCAAACAAAAAAAGGCCAATAGTATCAAATCAATGTAATAGCATGGAAAGGCTAGCCGGCTGGTCTGGGTAAGGCACTAGACTGTTGTGGAAAGGCATTTTGTTAGATCAATATGACTAGTGGTGAAGATCCCAAGGACAGACTGTAGAAACAGAAAACATTAATCAATTGAATATATCATAAACAAATCAATGGAATTTATTTTTTTTTGTATATCAAATGGAA